TTTGAGGAATGAGCCAATGGATGGAAGATCTCTCCATTTCTCCTTCAGTGTAACTCTGCCTTTCAAATAAATAAAATAAATCTTTAGGAAAAAAAAAAAATTAAAGGGGATGAAGGCAGTCCAGGCAGAGTTGGGGAACAAGCACATATTTCACACTTAAGCTCATGCATTCCTAACCCTGTCTCTAGCAGCCCCTGAAAACTCTCCTGGGAGGTCTCTGCAAGGTGGGGAGGAGAGGAATTGGAGGCTAGAGGTGGTGTCCAGGCTTCTTCCTTGAGCCGAGGTCAGTCCATGTTGGAAGCAGCATCTGGCTGTGGCCCTCTTCAGGGCTTCCTGGTGTTCACAGAGCCAGTGAAAAAGTAGCAGAGTGGTGGGATCGCCAGTGAAGGGGGACAGAGGTCAGATGTGGGGCAGGTGAGTGTGGATGCAAGGGGCATGAGCTGGGCGGGGAGGGGGGGTAGGGAGCACAACCATGTACAAGGGCAGTGAACTAGATGGGAGGGAACAAGCCAGCTATATGGGGGGATGGCCAGGTGGGAGGGAGGAACAGTGCAGGTGACAGGGTGCGGTCAGCTGTGACTGTGGAGGTGAGCTGGTGTGGCGGAATGAGTGGAAGTGAAGGGGATGAGCTACGTGAGGGGCTTGCGCACAGCCTGTCCCCACCTCAGGGGTTGGGAGGGCGGCTGCCCCATGCAGTGACTGATGTAACCCATGGAGGAAATATGGTTTCTATTTAAGGAGGCTGTTTAACCTCTGGACAGAGCAGCTGAGGACTTGCCTGTTTCTTGGCTGGGTGGAAATAAACTACCATGAAGAAGACCTGTCCTCTGTTACACCTGCTCCCTGGGCTCAAGGAAGTTGCTCAGAGATGCCAGCTTGGAGGCCACTGATGGAGCCGTGTGGGCTAAATGAAGCTGATGTCAGAACTGAGCTGTGTCCATGCCAGGCTTCTTGTGGGACCTCACTGCAGAGCATGCCCTGCCTTGCTTCACTTCTCTGTGTCCAAATCCTTAGTCTGCCTCAAACACTGCTTCCCTCATGAAGGCAGTTCGAGAAACCCATTCTGCAGTTTGAAACTTGCAAATGATGACTACCTCCTGTGCACACACACTTGGCAGACTGGAAATCAACTTTCATGTGGCACAAGTCTGCACCTCCTTACCCCAGATACACACCCAAAAAATGTGGAAACAATGGTCTTACCCACTTTCCTGTAACCCTTGACCCTTTGTGCCCTAATCAACGATGTAAAGATTATAATATAATATAATATTATATATTATAATATATATAATATATATAATATATATTATAATATAATATAATATTATAATATATTATATTATATTATGTATTATATTATGTATATATTATATTATATTATATTATATTATATATTATATTATATTATGTATTATATTATGTATAAAGATATGTTAGAAAGGTGGGGAACACTGGGCTGGGACATACTACCCTGTCCCCAAGCGCAGGGGACTGCAAATTGCTTGGGGAATGGGGATTTGGGGATGTATTGGAGTGGGAGTGGCTAAAAGAATGTTTGATAGGAAAGAATGATTTCTGGGGTCTTCCAAGGACCAGGCCACTGCACTGGCAGGAAGGTGAGGGAACTAAGACCAGATGGTTTAGAGGGAGGAAATCGGAGGGCATGTCTGGGTCAGGCCAAAGCACATGGGAGACTTGGGCTGGGCTAAATATCACAATCTGCCACCTACTGGTACACACAAAAGCTGGGGCTGGGGGGTGCTTGGATGGTTGAGTAGGGTGTAGTACCTGCCTGCAAATGTCAAAGCGTGGAGTAGACCAGGACAGGCATGGCTATAGCACCCACCACAATGCAACAGAACTGGATCTGAGGGTAGATTCTGTAGGGCACTTGTGGGCTTGCCTTTGTGGGACTGCAGCACCTGTTGCTTTGCACGGAATGCTAGGGATGGTGACAGGCTGAATCAGGCTGGAGCATGGAACTCACCTGACACTTGTGGGAGCCAGGGTTGGAAGAGTCTGGGCTAAACCAAGCTACAGCATCCACTGGCACATGCAAAGGCCAGGACTGAGGGCAGACCATGCCAAGCAGGGCTGCAGCACCTGCCAGCACGCATAAGGTCCAGGGCTGGGAAGGGGAACTTTCATACTTCAATCCTCCCCATCCTGATTGGAGACCCACATAGCCGTGCACCCCTCTCAGCTATGTAAATAATATTAAAAATAAAACAAGTGTCAAATACACAGTTGGATGGATTAACAAGACACTCATGCACTAGAATATTATTCAGTCATGAAGAGGAATGCCAGGGTAGGTGGGATGCAGGAAGAGTGACTATTTAATAGAGAAAAGGTTTCCTTCTGGGATAATAAGAACATTCTGGAAGTATGTATCAGTGATGGTTGTGAGCACTGTGAATGTGCTAAACATCACATGAAAATGCTGATTTTATATTGTATGTATTTTAGCCCAATAAAAAGGAAAAGCAAATGCACACTTCTGGGGAAAGTTTCCTCTCATTTTGATCAGATGATTAAGGTCTGATCTGGCCCCACACCTTGAGGAGACATGAACAGGGGATGATACCTGACCAGGGCCACTCAGGGGCTGGTGGCAGAGCCAAGCCAGGTTGTACATTGTGTGACCACACACTCTTTTCTTCCCTCATCCCCTGACAGCCCCTGATGCCTCCCAGCCAGGCTACCCACAAGCTGTGTCACCTCCCTGAGTCAGTAGGCTGCCTGGAAGCTTACCAATGTATTTGCCTTTGCCTCTAGAGGATCCCTGAAGAGGGCAGACAAGGGGGTAGGGGGCTAGCTCTTGTTCCTCCTGCATCCTGCAGAGCTAGCTCTATGGCAGCCACCAAGACAAGGCAAGAATATGCCATTTGCTCTCCAGGAGGGCACATTCCTGGCAAGGCCTCATCCAGAGAATGGCTGGGTTGGCCAGGACTGCATCACACCTACAACACAACCCCAGGCCCTTCCAGACTCAGCCTGTTCCCTGTGCGCTCCTCTTTGCTTGATGTTATTTTAAACTAAGAGATGTATACATGTGCGGGATCCAATGTGCTAGTTCTTACTGCCCATCCTCCACAGGGAGCCCTGGCACTCCTATCCCCACCTTGGGGAGGCCCAGGGGACTCAGCACACCTTCCCTGGGAAATCAGAAGTCCAGGCTCACTGAGTGACCTGATCCAGGGGTTCTCTGGGGGACTGAGAGAGGTGAGGCCTGGAGTACACAGAGCAGGGCCTTGGGACTATCTGCTGAGGATACCCAAAAGCAGAATGAGGCTCAGAGGGGCACAGAGAAGGGGCCATGCCTTCCGGAAGAGCACAGCAACGATACACAGGAAGGGCCTCAGGGATGACAGGCCTTGCTGTCAGGAACCCTAGCTCCAGTGTACTGGGGGACAGACTACTGCAGAGTTCAGAACGGGCCCTGGAAATGGGGTCCAGAGAACCCCAATCTTGGGTTTGGGAAAGCCAGATTCAAGCTGTACTTCTTATCAGGTCTTCTTCCTTTTGGAACTCAGTCTGTCCATCTGCAAAATGGGTACCACATGTATCCTCTCTCTCCAACCACAGCTGAATTCTGAGACTTGACTAACAGTATTGTTTATTGGGCCCGGGGCGATAGCACAGTGGTTAAAGTCCTCACCTTGAACATGTGGAGATCCCATATGGGTGCCGGTTCTAATCCCGGTGGCCCCACTTCCCATCCAGCTCCCTGCTTGTGGCCTGGGAAAGCAGTCGAGAACAGCCCAAAGCTTTGGGACCGTGCACCTGCGTGGGAGACCTGGAAGACGCTCCTGGCTCCTGACTTCGGATTGGCTCAGCTCCAGCTGTTGCAGCCACTTGGGGAGTTAACCATTGGACGGAAGATCTTTCTGTCTCTCCTCCTCTCTGTATATCTGCCTTTCCAATAAAAATAAATAAATCTTTTTTTTTTTAAAAAAAGCACTACTGTTTATGGAAGGTCCTGGGGTGAGCTGTTTAAATGCCAACTCCTTTCATCCTTATATTGTCCCTGTTAGGGAAAACAATTATGACCTCCATTTTATAACTGAAAACGGTGGCTTTATTAGTTGGAAGGACTGGACCAAGAACTCACAGCTAGGCAGCCGGCAGAGATGGGAGGGAACTCGGTTGTCTGGCCCTATAACCCCTTGGTTATTGGAGACACAGCTCCTGAGGCCAGTCCCTATTAAACTTGGGGGCAGCAGCGCAACCAGTGGCAGTGGTCATGGGAGGACATACTGTCCATCTGACAGCAAGCTTGACACCAGACAATCGTGTGAACTAGATGCTTCCAGAATGTGTTTGGGGGGGAGGAAACCAGGGTGCACTATGAACTCGAGATAACAGAGAGAGCCTCCCTTCAACTAGAGAATCAAAGAGGCACCTCCAAGGACTGAGAAGGGCCGTGTGAGAAGACCCCCAAACCAAAGCGAAAGCCACACTTGGTTGGCTACCACGGGTGTGGGCAGATGAGGTCAACGAAGTGCTGAGCACCTTAAATCCATGAGCAACCACCCGCAACGTTTCCGGGCGGCCCGAAAGGAACGACCCCGTAGGGCAGGGGTGGGTGGGGTGAGGTGTGCGTGTGTGTCAGGGACCGAGAGAAGGCAAGGAGACACCTGCTGAAGCCCGGGGACGCTGGCGTAGCGACGACACCCTCGTCCTCCTCACGACGCCGGCCCGGCCCTGCTGGTGACGTCACGGCGCTCGCGGCGCCGCCTGTGACGTCACGGACCGAGTTCAGGGTCGTTCTCGGGGTCGGCGTGCGCGCGGCCGCGGCCTGAAGAGGAGCATGACTTCCAGTCAGTCTCCGTCCAAGTGGGGTGGGTGCGCGCCCCCGCGCGGGGCCTGGTTGCTATGGACGCAGCGGCGGCCGCTGGCGGGCGGGGGCGCGCAGGGCCGCGGCGAGGGCCGCGCAGCCTCCGTGGCGCGGGGCCCTGAGGCGCAGGACCACGCTCCCAGGCTGGGCCGGCACCATGAAGTCGCTCAAGAAGGAATCCCGCCTCAGAATAGCTCCTAACAGGTTCATGGAGGCTACAGAGAGCGTCAAAGGTTGGCGCTGGCTGCCATGAGCACTCAGGAGAACATGGGGCCCACGTTTTTAGTATGGGGGTCAGGGCACGGGTGGATGCGGGTGACATGTCGGATGGAGGTTTAAAGCTTACTGGGAAATAGGAACCTCTGGCGCCATGGGCAAGGCAGAGACCTGGAGGAGGGAAGGCACTCCTTGCACTGGACCCTGAGAAGGGGAGTGGGAAGTAGGGGCTGGCTGCGGGTAGATGGCCTGGGGCGCAGGAGACTGCTCCCTCCAAGCGTGTGGTGGGCTGGTATCAGTCCCTGGGCTGAGTGAGGTGCACAAGAACCAGAAAAGGATTTAAGGCCAACAAGCCCAGGAATGGAGTCCTTGGGAACAAGAATTTGCCCTAATGGGAGAATTGCGTTAAGGTGGTGAAACCAGCCACCTTAATGTTTATGCTTGAGTATCATTCAAAATCCTTCTGGAAAAACCCCGAAGAAGCACCCATGTTGGCTGGTTGTGTTTTCTGCCTGCCTTGTGTCTTTTCCTGGTTTCCTCAGCTACCCCATGGCTGCAGATGGGAGAGCCACAGGTGGTTGACACAGACAACGCCCCCCTACCCCTACCCCGTGGGTTCCTTTTGTGCAGCCCACTCCCTCTTCAATCTCTCTTGGCTGTTTCCCGCTTCAAGCACTTAATGTATGTGAACAGTGCCCTGGGGAGCAGGGGTGTCATCTGAGCCTCCCCCTATGAAAGGTAGATCATGTAAGATGTAGAGGGGAGAGGGTGTTCCTGCAATGATACAGTGGTTAAGCTGTGGCTTGGGGATATCAGCATCTCATAGTGGAGTGTCTAGGTCCAAGTTCCAGTGCCATTTCTATTCCAGCCTTCTGCTAACACGTAGCCTGGGAGGTGGCAGCTGATGGCTGAAGAAACTGGGTCCCTACCACCCCCATGGGAGATTGGAACTGAGTTCCTGGCTCCTAGCTCCTGAGTTCCTAGCTGTTGCAGGCACTTGGGAAGTAGACCAGAAAATGGAAGATCTCTTTCTTTAATTAAAAACAAAAACTTACTTATTTGTAAGGTAGATATATATCTGCTATCCACTGGTCCATTCCCCAAATGGATGCAATGGCCAGGGCTGGCCCAGGCTAAAGATCTCATCTGGGTCTCCTACCTGGCTGGCAGGGGCCCAAGTACTTGGGCCATCTTTCATTGCATGTCCTAGGCACATTCACAGAGAGCTGGATCTGAAGTGAAGCAGCCAGGACTTGAACCAGTGCTTATATGGGATACTGGTGTTATAGGTGGCAGCTTATCCCTCTGTACTACCATGCCAGCCCCTCTGCCTACCTTTCAAAAAAGATATATTTAAACAAAAAAAAAAAAAGAAAAGAAACTCTAATGAAGATATAGAAGAGGATTCAGACAAATGTAGAAATATACATGCTGCGATATGGGCACCCATTGGGTTGCAGGCAGTCACAGCATGAACCCTTGGAGGGTATTCAAGGGGAGATTTTCTGAAGAAGGTACCATTTATGGCAGACTTAAAAAAAAATCCTGCTTGCTTTTGCTTTTGCTCTTCAAGGTCTAGAAAGCAGTTCTTGGAAGCCATGTGCATGGGAACCAGAGGGGGCTTGCACAGGAAGGCAGGGGCCCAAGCATGAAAGGGCTCTGCATGCTAGGCGAGCAAGGCTGGGTGTGCTCTTGTGGGCCCTGGGGAGACCCATCTCCCGAGTCCGAGCATGAGAGGAGGGGCAGGCCTGGGGTCACTAGAGCTCTCTGGGAAGCCCAGGCAGCTAACAAGAGCATTGAGGCTTTGCAGCCTGGTTTGCTTTCATGCTTCTTCACAGTCTTAAAAAGCCAGTGCTGTTTCGTGACATACTTTTTCACAGTTGAGAGAGAAAAATATCTGGTCCCCTTTTGCCAAGGGCAGTCAAGGGCTCTCCTAGCTAATGCCTCCCGCTTGGGCTCGTTTCTATGAGTCTGTAATCAGATTTGAACTTTCTGCTGTAAACAAAGCAAGGAGTAATATCTCACTGTTTTTTTTTTTTCCTAACAAGGGGAGATTTCGTTTTGTTCCATAGCCCTTGAGTTAAGAACATGTGAGGAGGGGAAATAAAAGTTAGCTATCTCAGGGAAGCCTGGGATATGATAAGCGCAGTACCTTCCCCATCCTACCCCCAGCATGATACAGCTGGTTAGCACATGTAGTCACATGCTGTGTTCCTCTGGGGTCTCTGAAACAAGCAAAAGGCAATGAATGTGCTGTCCGTCCTTTTGAGTGCCAAATCTCTCCCTGGTCTTGTTGCTAACAAAACATAAAACATTTCCCGAAACCTCACCACCTGCCAGTTAAAGCTCTGCCTGGTGGGAGTTGTCCTCACCTTGGTTCCTTCTATGTAGCCCCGAAGTCAGAATTTCCCAAGGACTTCAGTCAACACTGTAAAAAGAAAAACATGTAAGACAAGCAAGAAGCAGGAAAAGGGCCCAGGTTTCTTGGTAGGCCCCCTCTCCGACCCCACGCCCTCATCCACCTGAGTCCTGTGCCCCAGCAGAGCCGTCATCTCACTACCCCACAAGAGGGGTGGGGTTTCTTGGACCCCCATCAGCTCTCAGGATCTAGGAAGAAATGTCAGCAATGGCTTTGAACTACACTCAGCTTTGGTGTTCAAACTGAAAAGTGGGAAGAGCTGGAACACCACATGTTCAGTAACAGGACACCCCTCCAATCCTGTGGAGCATCCTCCATGAGTCCTGAAATGACCCCTGGAGAGCCTCCTTTCTGCCTGGTCTCCCCAACTGGCCTGTGCCCCTCCAATGCCACCTGGCTACCTTTTGCTGGGTGGATCATTCAGAAATGCTCCTCTCATCAGCTCCTTGTCCCAGACCAAAGATCAGATGACCGAACCATCCTTTGAAAGCCACCGTGCCCTGGTTTCCTTCTCATCCCCAACCACATTCTCCCCCTCCCCCAGCAAGCCTTCCCTGTTGTCAACATATCACACCCCTACCCTGCTCAGCCCTATCTCCAGCTGTTCCCAGCCTGTGACCTTAGCTGGAACAACTCCATTTGCTGCTGCACTTGTACAAAGCCTACCTCTCCTTCAAGGCCTGACCTAGTCTGGGAGGCCACGTGTGCAGTGGCTGCTCAGAGCTTCTTTCAGAGCCCTGAACTGTGTGCTCTGCACAGATCCATTCCTCCTTTGATGTCTAACCAAGCCCATTTCCTTGCTGCTAAAGCAGGCTTTTACATTGTTAAGGTTGCTGTTAGGATCTGTTGCCTTTTTCAGTTCCCCAAGAGAAGGAGCCATTTCTTTTCTTTCTTCTTTTTTTTTTAAATAAGATTTTTTTTTAAATTTACCTGAAAAAGATACGGAGAAATATCTCACCTGCTGACTCATTCCTCAGATGCCTGTACTAGCCAAGGCTGAGCCAGGAGCAGTGCTGTCTGCCACGTGGGTGGCAGGGACCCCAGTACCGCAGCCATCATCTGCTGCCTTGCTGGGTACACATTAGTAGGGAACTGGAATGGTTAGTGGAGCTGGGACTGGAACCCCAACACCCTACCCAGAATGGGAGGCAGGTACCCCAAGTGTTGGATCGCCTGTCCCGTTGTAACTTATACTATTTTCTCTGTAGTTCATAGCGTGTAGGAGGTGGAATATTTTCTGGCATAAAATTTAACTTTGAAATGTATAGACTATTTTTAAAAAGGATTTAGTTTTAAGGAAAGCAGATTTACAGAGAGAAGGAGAGACAGAAAGATCTTGCACCATGGTTCACTCCCCAAATGACAGCAATGGCCAGAGCTGAGCCAATCTGAAGGCAAGAGCCAGGAGCTTCTTCCGGGTCTCCTATGCAGCAGGTACAGGGTCCCAAGGCTTTGGGCTACCCTCTACTGCTTTCTGAGGCCATAAACAGGGAGCTGGATGGGAAGTGGGCAGGTGGGACATGAATGGGTGCCCATATGGGATGTCAGCTCTTGGAAGTAGATGATTAGTCCATTGAGCCATTGTGCTGGCCCCCTGTATAGACTTATTTCAATGAGCAATCTATAACTAGAGCACTGAGTTCCCTGGCTGAGCACTGATTATATTATGTTGAAGATAACTTCTTGGAAAGCGTCAGATCAGGATTTCACTGCCTATCTCATCTTAGACATAAAGACTTCATTTCTCCATCTGTGGAACAATGTGAGCGTCGATCGTCAGTGCTGAAAGCTGTCATTTGTTTGCATGTGGTGATTACACATCCACTGGTGACAGACAAGTGTCAGGAGACATTTCATTTCTAGAAAAAATACAGGAGCAGCCAAGGTGTTGGGCAGAGGAAGCCAGTGGCCTAGAGATACAGATAATGAGTAGGTACTAGATGTTTATGAAAGCAGTCTTGAGGGTCGGGGTTCACTTGCCGTTTGGCATACTTCTATCCTCTGTATAGTACCTGGTTCAAGTCCCAGCTATTCTGCTTTCACTCTGGCTTCCTGCCAATGTACATGTGAGGCAGCAGAAGAAGGCTAAAGTATTTGAGCCCGTGCCACCCATGTGAGAAACCCAGCTGGAGTTCCTGGCTCCTGGCTTTAGCCTTACCTAGCCCTAGCTGTTGCATCATTTGGGGGGAATGAATTAGTGGATGAAAGTTCTCTTTTTCTCTGTCTTTTCGCTGTCAAAATAAAGTGAAAATAATTGTTTAAAAAAAATGAAAAAGCAAATCTTTCACTGGTCCCCATTCTCTTGTGGACTGCCAGCAACTTCAGTGAGATAGTGTATAAGGGAAAGGGGAAGTGGAGATTAAAGCCCAAGGCTGCACTTTTGTGAATTTTAGCAAATGAGACCAGAACTGAGGGTCACGCTGCTTAGCCCTGTGGGTGTGCATCAAGTTGTGCTTTTAAACAGAGTTCTAAGCTGCCACTGACCCTGTGGTGGGAAGGTGGTTTATAGTGGGTAGGCTGAATTTAGAGTTATGTTTGAATGATTCTGGCTTAGTGGTTTACTTATTTTGCCATCAATTATATGAACATTTCCAAAAGATAGTTTGATTTTGTTAATCCAAACACCTGCCTTGATGCTTTTTTGATATTTCCCTTAGAGATCAAGCTACTATAAGAAGCAATGGATAAAGCCAGACTTTTTATTTGTTTGTTTCTTTGCTTAGAATTTATTTATTGATTTGAAAGAGGGAGAGACAGAGAGAGAGCCTTCATCTGCTGATTTGCTCCCCATATGGCTGCAATGGCAAGGAATGGCCAAGACCAAGAACCTGGAACTCCTCTAAGTCTACATATGGGCAGCAGATGGCATTTGAGTGTATCAGCAGGGAGCTGGATCAGGAAAGTGGAGCAGCCAGAACACCGGCTGGCCCCATCTGGGATGCCAGGACTGCAGGCAGTGGCTTTACTTGCCACGCCACGGTGCAGGCCCCCAGACTTTGTTTAGGGTTCTCTGAAGGCAGGACACAGGCTTTCCTGAGATTGTTTTATGAAGGACCTTAACTCAGGCCATCCTGAACTAGAACAGGGAAGATGGGCTTACTAGTCGAGGGAAGGACATGAACACGGAACCTAATAAGCCTTACCATGGAAGAGAGGCAGGGAGCAAGTCCTCCCTGGCCCCGTATGTTATCTGTCCATGCCTTGTTGTGGGTGCCTCTTGAGAACAATATTCCTCTTGCTTTTGTCCAGTGCTGCCTGTCAGGCATCCCCATTGTCCATCATGTCATCACTGTGGCAAATCTGAAATGCTCTTGTCCTCCGTCTTGTGGCCCTGATCCATGCCTTGGCATGCCCTTGCCCGTGGGGTAAAGGCTGAAGCCCTTCCTGTGGCTTTCCAAGCTCCCCGGGGTATGGCTCCCCGTTTTGCCAGCTCTTGCTTCCCACTTCCCACCTCGCTGCACTCTAGCTATTTCAGAACACATGCTTGGCGTTCCAGGCATGGGTCTGTACCGTTCTCTTACCAGGAGGTCTCTTGATGCTAGTCTCTTTGGAATGCCACCACCAGTGCCTTTTCACTGGTCTTCATCCTTTAGCTCTCAGTGTAAACATCTCCTCCTGAACAAGCCCTCTCTGACCCCAGTAAACCCTTTGAAAATCGAGACTCTGTCTTACAGCCCTGGAACTAGCACAGACCCTGGCATGTAGATACTGTGTGAGCAGTCTCTATTAAAGGAAATAACATGGAAGAAGTGATCCATGGGGGAGGGTCAGTCCCCTCTCTACCCCGCCCCATGACATCTGCATTTGAACCAGTGCCTTGGGAACCAAATGCCTTCACCTGGAAGAAGGGATCCACGCCTGCCCTGGAGGAGGCTGGGAAAATAGCTACTCTTTGGGCCACAAACCAGTGAATGTCAGAATCACCCAGCGAGTTTGGAAAAGCACAGCTCCCCAAGCCCTAGCTCCATGAAAAAGCCAAGAAGTTGTATTCAGGAGGCCTGGCTTTGTGGTACAGTAAACATCTGTCTGTGACTTTGGCATCCCCTATTTCTAGCACCAACTGCTCCACCTCCAATTCAACTCCCTGCTAATGCGCCTGGGAAAGCAGCAGCATATGACCCAAATGCTTGGGCTCCTACCCAAACTTGAGACCTGAGCTCCTGGCTTTCAGCCTGGCCTTATTGTAGTCGTATGGCCATTTGGGGAGTGAAGTACCAGGTAGAAGTTCTCTCTATATAAAACTCTACTTTTCAAAAAAAAATAACTTTAAAAAATAAAAGGAAGTTATATGTATTAAACTGTCCACAAAAGACTTTTGGCACTTATTGGATTCCTCTTTGGCAGCCATGGATTTAGCGCAACTTCTTTTTTCACAGAGGAAGACTGAGAGCTACAGAGGTTAAGTGGTATGTACTCACAGTTGCCCAGCTCCTAAGTCACACGGCCTGAAATGGAACTGATCTCCAACCTGGCTACTGATACATCAGTCACTGGCTGACCGGGGGGAGCAAGCAGGAGCATTCCTGTTGCCCCCTGGGAAGTGTGACCAGCCTCCGCTTGCTGTGCTGGTGGCTGGCCGGCTCTGCCTGCCTGCCATGCAGATCTGTGTATGTTTTTGTGTCTTAAAATAGTTACATATATAGGAAGGGTTCTTTAAGCAATTGAAACTCTGTGCTTCTCTTCAGATAAGAAACGGCCCAAGGTAGCCGAGCAGCCCACACCCCCCATTCAGGAAGAGCCGGAGCCTGTTAGCAATGTCCTACAAGGAGATGACATTCTTGCCTTGGCCATTAAGACAGAAGACCTGAAGAAGGTAAGTGATTGAGCCTAGGGCTCCTTGCCAGCAAACATTTCTTCCTGCCAGCCCCACCTACACCCACACCTGTGCCTGCACCTATGTAGTCTGGAACAGCAGCCACGCCCACGGCTCTCCACCTGCTCCCTTCCCACTGGGAGTGTGAGATTCCACAAAAAAAAGCCCATTGAACACAAATGCTTTTCACTATGGCACCTGTAGGCATCTCCTGGGTGATTTGTTCTAACACCTTCAAGGTTCAGGGAGAACCCCAAGGAAAACAGGAGAAAGAGGTGTCTAAGGTCTCAGAAAGGCAGGTGACAAGCCTTCCCGTTCCACGGTGGGGAAAATGAGTTTGTGCAGCTAGGTTACAGATGCGGGGATAGCCCACCCCGGGCTCTGCCTGGAAGAGGCGGCAGATGTTTGGGTTTTGCCTCTAGGATGTTACTAGGTCATGTGGCAGTGACACAGGCGTTTTCTTGACAGAGCATATGGACCAAGCGAGAGAAACAGATTTGTCAGCCTTCAGGAATTCCCCCTGAGAATTGGGGCAGAGGAGATGGGTGGTGCCCCTCCTCCTCTTCACCTCAGGTGGAATCCTCCTCAGTGTTGTTTCTTTTTTAGCAACACATTCCTCGTCTTTCGGAGACAGAGGACAGACCTGTCATCACACAGAAATTCATCATCCGTAAACTCAAACCCAGGGATCCCCGGAGGAAGGTCTGCCGCTTGGTAGCGCATCCAGCCAGTCCGGATGTTAACACTAAGCCCCTGGACTACTATGGTATGTCCAGCTGAGCCCTGATGCACTGACTTTCAACGTGACGGGTCAGCCCTAACTGGAAGCTGGGTCACCCCCTGGAGTAGTTTATATTGGCCTGTCTCCCCATCCTCTCCTCTTCCCACTCCTCCAGGTTCAGGCAGCAGCTTCAGTAACTGGGACAGGATCCTGCCTCACCACATCCTGGGCAGTCTCCAGGACTTTAAGAGAATAGCAGTTGCCCGGGGGAATACTCAGGTATCAGGTTTATGCAGAGATGCTGGGGGCATGGGTTGGAAAGTGGGGTGCAGGTGAAGTGCCCCAAGGTCTTTGAGGCCCCATCTGACAGAGCCACCCAGAGTGGGTTAAAGACACAGTCCAGTCTGTGGGTCTGGAGACTGAGAAGCAAAGTGACCCTCCCCTGAAGCACATACTGCCATAGCCGAAGCTGGAGATGGCCTGTGTGTGAGGACGCAGGAGTTGTCTCTGGCAACCCCTGCCTTACCCACATGGCCAGGGTGGCACTGAGCCTGGGTTGCTTGAACTCAGACAAGACTCAGGCACCTGCTCCTCGAGTCCCTCTCCTCTTCTGGGACTGGCTGGCTCTTGCTGACACTCCTAGCTGGCTTTCCCAGCATGCAAGGCTTGCATCTGTCCGTCTCTCAGGTGCCAAGTGACTTGGGGTCATGCCCAAAATACAGGACGGCGGCTCACCAACCCTCGTGAAGGTGTCAGCCGGTGTCGGCTGGGAGCACAGCGCACTGAAGGATCTTGGCCCTGATTTAATCACAAAAGTCTCCCTTCTGGAGCAGGGAGGACCAATGGCAGCTTCTAAGGTCCCCCTGGTGGGTGATTTGTTGTCAGTCTCTCACCACCCTGGGGTTCTGGCAAAGCAGAAGAGCAGCAGGGATCCAGGCCTCTAGATGTCTCTGCTGGGCCCAAGCCTTCTCTCTGGCCTCCACATGCCTGCCTTCTCCTTTGCAGCTGGCTAAGCTCATCCACAGCCCACCCTGTCTGCTGACCCTCATCTCGGCTAAAGAAGAATCAAAACCAAAGACCTTAAAGGAAAAAAAGAGACTTCCCTGGGCCCCACCTCCTCAACACAACTTTCTGAAAAACTGGCAGCATCATCTCACCCTGCGGAAGAGGCAGCAGGAGGCCCTCAGCGGTGAGCAGGGTGCTTGGGGCTCCTCCACCACCGCCCCTGGCTCCCATGGGGTCCGTGCCCCCTGCTGCTTTTCTATCTCCCTGGATGTTCAGAACTCAGATGTGTACTCACCATACTTGTATTGAACATTTTCCAAAGCCTCATGCCCTTAAGTCTTAGCAGGTCCTGAAATGAGCCCCATGAGTGGGACTGCCCTACACAGAGCACCAGAGCCCTATGCATACCGATGCAGTGGAGGGCTGTGCTTGCACCTGCCCCTCTTCTTTCTGTCTCATTAGAACACCTGAAGAAGCCCGTTGGTGAGCTGCTCATGCACACTGGGGAGACCTACAGACAGATCCAGGAGGAGCGAGAGCGCATCGACCGTTTACTGCCAACACAGCATGATGGGAAAGTGAGGATGGCCACTCCTAAGTGCCTGGGGATCATTCCCAGGTTGGGGATGAGGGTGGGGAGAGGGGGCAGCACCTGGACTCTGAGGCTGCTGGCCCATTTCAGTTTGTATCCCAGTTGGAGATCACTGAGAAAGCACCCTCCAGACCTGAGGCCTTTCTGGTCCTGGCATTGGTTGTCTGGGGACAGGTCAGTGAAGTAATTCAGCTCACAATGGTCACTGGTAGTCTGAAGAGGAAGTCCTTGCAGGCACTTAGGCTTAGTATTTATACGCCAAGAGCTCAGCCTGCAGCTTCTGGACCACACAGGACACCCTGTTGAGTTCTGGTCTGCTGTTGCTGTGCCTGTGGCAGTCCATGCCCTGTTCCCCAGGGTGGGTAAAGGCTGTACCTGCAGGGCATCCTGTAGCTGAGATACTGAGGGCTTCTGTTCTCAGGGCAGTGGGAGTTCCCCAGGGGCAGCACATGTAGTGTGCGGGGCTCCCATGTGTCCAGCTCCCCACCAGCCTCTGATCTAGGGCTCAAGGTGTTGAGGCACTCTAAGTGCTGTGTCTTTCCTTCTCAGGCCTACGAGGAGCCTGGTGGATTCTGGGCTCCACTGGAATACCTGGGCAATGAGATGACAGGGCTGCTCATGACCAAGACAAAAACACAGCGTGGCCTGGTGGAGCCAGTCACCCACATCCGGAAGCCCCGCTGCATCCAGGTGGAGACTGGTGAGTGGCAGTACTGTTCCCAGCTGGCATCCCAGCATGGCCGCTAGGCCTGTCCAGGATGCAGGCCAGGTGCAGTCACAGGCAACAATTGGATACCTGCAGGATAGCTTATTCATGTGATGTGCTGGCTAGATAGATTGCACACTAGGTTGATTATTGAGTGTGGTTGAAATAACCATATTGGTTAAAGAAACTGTGCAAGTAGCAAATATTTTACCTGCTTTTTCTTTTTTAACCCTTTTTCATGTGGCACCTAGAATATTCAAAATGATACATGAGCATTCTATGACTGTCAAAACAGCCTTGCATCAGAGCCTACCAGACATGGTCTGGGTACAGGACCCGGCTGTCATGGCTTGTGAAGCCCTGTGGGTTTATTTCCCAGAGGTGAACCCTCAGTTTCTCAGGTTTTGAGAGGTTCAAATAAGAGAACTAAGAGATTCTGGCAGGTGGCAAAATACTCAAGAGGTGGTGATTTCTTTGCGAACATTGAGTGGTTTGGAAGTTAGTTCCACAGGAGGGAGTGGGCAGGAACCCTGGTGTCCAGCTGTCCCTGGGAAACCATATTTTTCCCCCTTGCCAGAGATGGTGCTTCCACTTGCCAGTTCACTCTCCCTCAGAGCCTTGAGAAGTGGGGTGGGAACCGGGTGCACAGCAGTGGTCTGTGCTGAGGGAGCTGGGACTGGCGCACTCCAGGATTGCTGGCCCAGAGGAATGCCTGGTACCGCTACACCTGGGACCGAAGTGTGTTTCTCATCTGCCGGCGCAAGGAGCTGCAGAACCTCCTGGCAGAGCATGGACTCGGCTTGCAGGTTGGTCATGCATCCCCGACCTAGCCTTGGCCCCTTAGGGTCAGTGCCCAGCTCCTGACAGCTAACTTTGGCTTCTTGGTCTCTCTCTTGGAGGACCCCGACAGGCTGGAGGTGGTGGGCAGGAGGCAGCCCTGCTTGGCTGTGGCAGCAGAAGACAGTGCAGTGTTGCCTGAGGGGAGCCATGCAAGCTCTTCTGTAGACACAGTGCATCTGTGAGTGAAGCTGGTGGGCCCACCACCCAGCACCTGTGCACCCACACACCCACGAACAGTAAAGGGCAGACCCTTTCCCTAAAGCAGCTTCCATCCCCACCCAAGGCTGCCACCCCCTCTTCCAGCCTGTTCCCACCCTGGTGCTAGCTTTTTCCTCACCACCTGCTTCTTTCCAGCAAGCCTTTCTGAATGGGGATTTCCTAGGCTGATTTGTTGGGGCCCCCATACCTCCCACTGCCATGCACAGCTAGTGGTTCTGGCAGGAGAGCTTTAAGAGTTTGTGTGTTTCTAGAAGCTTCCACCTAGGGAATGGTTCAGGAGGATGCTGGGCCCTGGAGGGGAGAGAGCAAAGTGCAGAGGCCGGTCACACCTCTAGGCTTGCTGGCAGCCCTCCATGGTTTCAGGAAGCGTGACCATGACCATGGCAGCTTTGTAGATAGTGACCCCTGGGGTTTTCTGTTTTTCTTCCTTCCTTTCTTCCTCATTTAAGATTTAACTTATTTGTTTGAAACTCAGAACTACAGGACAGGGGGTGGGGAGAGAGAGATCTTGGTTCACTCCCCAGATGGCTGCAATAGCCAGGATGGGGCCAAACCAAAGCCAGGAGCCAGGAACTTCATCTGGGTCTCCCACATGGGTGCAGGGGTCCAAGTAGTTGAGTAGTTGAGCCATTCTCTCCTGCTTCCCCAGATGCATTAGCAGAGATCTAGATTTGAAGCAGAACAGCTAGGACATGAACTGGTGCCCAGACTGCCAGTGTCGCAGTCTGCAGCTTACCCCACTGTTCTACAATGCTGACATCTCCTGGGTTTCTCTTATAGGGACTTGTTTGCCACATACCCTGATACAGTCTCTATGCCCACTCTTGGGCCTTCTCTGCTGTTTTGTGGGAAGCCGGCTGTCTGGATCCGAGGCAGCAACCCACAGGACAAGGTAAAGCTGCTTTCACCTTCACTCACCTGCTAGAAAGGCCTCCCTTGCCAGTACAGCCCCAAGGTGACCGATGCAGTCACAAGGAGCTGGCTCAGGCTTTTATTTGCATTTTTATCTGGTCATACACTCAGCATGTCTGAAAATGGTGATAGCAATACCAACCTGCCATGAACCAAATCACAGGGTAAACAGCAGGGGTCCCAAGCCATCCACTTAGCCCCCAGGCAGGTTAATAAGCCAATTCTCTCACATAGGGATGGCTTTTTAAAACCATTAGTTTCTTTTAATTTGCTTGAGAAGGCAGAGACAGAGATCTTCCACTTGCCAGTTCACTCTCCAAATGACCACAGCTGTCAGTGCTGTGCCAGGTCGAAGCCAGGAGTCCAGAACTGAACCTGGGCCTCTCATGTGTATGGTGGGAACCCAATTACTTGTGCCATGAGCTGCTTGCTTCACAGAGTATGCATAAGCAGGAAGCTAGCATTGGAGTCCCAGCCCTGGCATGCATGATATGGGATGCGGGTGTCCCAAGGCAAGTTTCAACTGCTGCACCAAATACCCACCCCTGGAGATGTGGGACAAGGGACCTTCGGTGCTACAACCCAGCCAAGTCCTGGCAAACCTGAAAGAGCTAGTCACCCCTTGGCCAGGGCCTGCTGCAAAGACTTTGGTGCCACCCTCCCTCCCCCAGAGGCATGTGGGCATCAGCGTGTGTTTGACCTTCGAAACCCTGGAAGGGGAGAAAACATCTTCGGAACTGACTGTGGTCAACAATGGCACGGTGGCCATTTGGTATGACTGGCGGCGGTGGCCACAGCTGGATGCTTTCCAATCCGTGAAGAGGAACAGGGGGCAGCGGTTTTACTTTGACAACCGGCAAGGTATCAAGGAAGGAGCTACCCTGTGTGCTGGCTCCCTGCTGGGGCTGGCCTAGTCCTCAGGGTCTGGGAGACGCCAAAGGCTCCTTCATGCCCAGTTCTGACATGTTTACACCCCTGCCTCACACCTTGTCTAGTTGCGGCTAGCATTGGTATGGGGAGGGAGATGCTGTTGATCTGGGGTGGCCTTGGTTTTCACACCAAAAGCCACATGCCCCTGGAAACCCCTTGACCCAGGACAAACAGTGCTCTGGTCCCCTGACCTGGGGCTGAATTAGATGCCTGTGCAAGGTTTAGGACTGTTGATGGATTCCGTGTGCAGGCTTGGGGCTCAGCTAGGAAAACCTCTGCCTGGCCCTCAGGTGTGATTCTACCAGGAGAAACCAAGAACTTCACCTTCTTCTTCAAGTCTTTAAATGCGGGGATCTTCCGGGAATCCTGGGAATTTGGAACCCATCCCATCCTGTTGGGAGGGGCTGTCCTGCAGGTCAACCTCCACGCGATCTCACTGGCCCAGGACACTTTGAGGGACGAGAGGAAGTTGCTGGAGGTAAGAGCCTGGGGCCCATGGCCCCTGTGGACTCCAGATGGAGTTCACAGGTACTCTTCCTGGCAGTACCTGTGAGGATCTGATCTTTCCCAACCTTAGTGTGAAGTTTTCCCAAGGAGGTAGCTGTTCTCACTCAGCATCACCTTCCCAGGGCTTTGTGACAGAAAAGATGGGGTGTGTAGGCTTAGGGGAGAAGGTGGCTTATAGCCCCCCATGCCTGGTTCCCCCTCCCCACTGGGTGAGAAAGGATTGAGACCAAGGGGTGGGAGCATGCAGCTGAGTGCAGATATAACACATGTACCTTCATGCCAGGAGCCATCACACACCAGAGTGTGTGGGCTTCGCTGCTAAGGTGCATGGGACTGTCAAGGCTCCAAAACTGGAGACAGCAATTTCAAGAGACAAGCCAGTCTGCACATCCTCCCACTCCATGAACTAACACAGTGGAGTGAGCGCGAGGTGGGACCTGGGACCCTTTGTGGGTCTTGGCGCTGCCTGTGGCCTATTGTGGTTTTTCACCTGCTGCAGCCCCCAGACCAAGCTGGTGGCTGCTCCTGCTGGCTGCCATGGTGGTAGTCCACGGCGATTCTGATAATCATCTGCCCCCCTTGCTGACTAGGACCTGGTGCTTCATGTGAGAGGCCACTTGCCTGGGGTTCTGTGATACTAACCAGGTGGCTATCCATGGTTTTCAGTGGCACCCGGACCCCTGTACCCCTGTACCCCTGTCCCTTCTTCCTCCCCTGGGGCCAGCACTCCATTCCAGGTCCCCTGAGGAGCAGGAATTTCTCTGGGACTGGTTTTCTTCTGTTTACCTCTTCCTTCCAGGGAAAAGAAGGGAGTAAGGATGGGGTGACCCCGAGGATTTAGAGTCTGGGAGTAGGCATGTGTATGCAAACAATGGCAGGAAGGCACAGAATCCCAGGGGATCTGGCTCTTCTCCAAGAGGCCAGGGGGGAGAGGGGGTTGCAAGCCTGGGCTGCCATCCTGTGCTGCTTCCTCTCTCCTGTCTGCCCCTCCCCCCAGAAAAAACTGGCAGCCCACGAGGCGGTCAGCATTGCCAAAAGCCTGTTGCCGGAGTTACTGATGGGAGTGCTGACCCCGGAGCCCAAGCCGCTGGCTGCGGACACCTATCTCACCGAGGAAGACCTGTTCCACCACCAGAATCCTCGGGTACAAGTCTGGCCCTGGCCCTTCACGCATGCTGTGGGTACCGGCACCCCTTCTGAGCAGCTGCCAGGAGTCACCTGCTAGCTCCTCACAGCCATCCTGGGAGAGGCATACTGCTTGTGTCCTCTCCTAACATTGAAGCCACTGGGCCCAAAGAAGTTCTGTAATCCACCCAAGGTGACACAGCTAGCAAGAACAGGGCTTCCCAAGCTTCTCTATCATACCCAGGCTTTTCTGGAAAAACCCAGATGCTAGAAAAGTTGCAGACACTTGGGTTGAAGGAGAGGAGGAGGAGACCCCTATGGTCCCAACTGTTCCCACTGGCCCCTTCCTGCCTGAGTGTCCTAGAAGGGAACAATGGACAGTTGGAGCCAGCCAGCTACACTGTGGGTACCCACCCATACTCCAGCTCCTCAACTCATATTTCTTCTCTTGCCTCTCTCTGTTGCAGTTGCATTACCAGCACCAAGTGGTACAAAACCTGCAGTGGCTGTGGCGCCAGTACATGATCCTGCTCCCCAAGGAGGCCTGGCCCAGTGAGGAGGAGCCCCTGAAGCCCAGGGCACTGGTCACAGTGGTCCCATCATCCTGCCTGGAGAAGGCTCCAGCCACCCCTGAGCTCTTGCCACACTACAAGAGTCCTCTATTGGAAGGTCACCTTTCCCGGCAGGAGAACACGGCCTTCTGGGACATCCGAGATTCTTCCACACCCCAGAAGACTGGAGCTGGGGTCAAGAGTGCCTACCGAAAGAGCATCATGGAAGAGATCCTAGTGGAGGAAAATCTGGACATGGACAGCCCCCTGAGTGCCTGGGACATGGACAGTCTTTCGCTGCCCAAGTGGAGCCTCTGCCTACAGGATTTCAGGAAGGTGCTCACCAGACCCTGGGGGAGGGGACGGGATGCCAGCGTGAACCCCAGGGGAGGGGGCAGGATGCTAGAGTCCTGCCCCATGCTGCAAGGGAGGCCCCAGCAGCCCCTCTAACCCACAGGCAATGAAAAACAAGCTTTTGGGTCACCTCTTTTTGCCTGGGGTACTTAGGTCACCATAGTCAAGGAGGGGCTGCCCCTCTGACCTTGGCAAACCCTGGAGAAGCAGCTCATGGGTCCAGACCTCCAAGGCCCATCCCAGGACCCCAAACTGACTTCCCACAGCCTCATTCCCTCCCGGCTTGCGCTACCAGTTACTAGAGGACACAAGGGATGGTTGATGTCCTGGGGCAGAATGGTTGTTCATGGGACCTGTGACCCTGCCAGGCAGTGATGGCGCTCCCTGAGGAACCCCACAGAGAGGATGCCCTGGTGAGACTCAACAAGGCAGCCCTGGAGCTGTGTCAGGAGCAGAGGCCAGTGCAGTGCAACTTCTTGCACCAGATGTGGTAGGTGCCCCCTGGGGCCCTTGACAGTACCTAGCAAGATGCCACACAGGTCCCACACCCTGGAGCCCTCCCCTCCCAGCCCCTGTCAGCAGCTTTCCAGGGAGCAAGCCCAGCAGAGGATGCCATGCATCATCTTTATTTTTCTCTTCTTCTCATTCCTTCTCAATAAGCAGAGAGATGAAAAGGGAGAATGCAGGGGGCAGGTTCCATTGAGAACATCACTGCTCTCTGCGGTCAACCTGTATCTTGCCTGTTTGGAACTGTTCATATTGACTTGGAGGCCTCTAGCCCTTGCAACACAAGAGCCTTGTGATGCAGTCTGGTGCCAGGGGCTGCACACTGCTGTCAGGCTCTGGCGGAGGACTGAGCCCTTAGTCCCAGGCCCTTTCTTTTTGGCCGCCACTGGAGAGAAGCTGGACCCTTGCATGGGTACCAACGAGGCTGTTGCATGCTAGCCAACAAATGGTTCCCTCGGCAAGTTTTGGCACTTACAATCTTTACAGGGAAGGGCTAGAGCCTCTTGAGATTCCAGGGCAAATGTCCCTGGGGGCCTCTCCCCTGTGTGTCTTGCCCTCTAGTCTGCAACTGTGGCGAGTTGTGATCGACAGCCTGGTGAGCCACTCCCTCTGGCTGCGAGTTCTGCTGGGTCTGCCTGAGAAAGAAACTGTCTATTTGGAAGCGATGGAGGAGCCAGGTCAGCTGCTGTGCAGCCACTCCCCAGCACCCTACCCAATGATGCCACGGGACCTCAGCCAGGGTTACTCCTGGGCTAGAAGCTCTGCCCCTGCTCCCCTGCCATCTGCTGCCAGGATTTGGGAGAAGCTACCCTAGCATGGTCTGTCACCTCAGTTCAGTGCCCTGGTTTCGTGAATGGAGTCCCAGAGAAGTTAAATGACTTATCTGTGTGCATACCTGGGGGGAGTGGCAGAGCTGGGACTAGAAGCCAGGTCCTCTGGCCCAGGTCTTGTTGTGCTGTCTACAAGGCCATACACCTGAACAAGGGGCTTCAGAGACATGGCTGAGGGCACTGACAGGGCTCAAAGCCATTAACTACCCCCAACTTTCCTATACCATCTCATAGCTCATCCTAGGCCCATGCTGTCATGCAGCCCCAAGGCCTCATCTCTTGCTTCCCCCTCTCAGATCAAAAGCCCACCCCAGTAATGGAAGTGAAAGTGCCCCCTGTGAGAGCTGGCAAGGAGGAGCGGAGAGGGGCAGCCCAGGAAAAGAAGCAAACTGGAATCAGAGACAAGGAGGACAAGAAAGGAGCCAAAATGCCAGGGAAAGAGGTTTGATGGGGGAGCAAGGGGTGTGTGGCCAAGCCCTGGGATGGGGCTGTGGAAGGCATTGTCCCCCCACCAAGCTGCTGTGGAGAAGGCTCCAGACCCCCTGTGGGGATAGGGGAGCACTGGGGCCTCTGCTTCCAGCAGGAGCGTGTGAATAGCAAGAAGCAGAAGGTGAAAGAGGAGAAGAAACTGACGAAATCCTCAAGCCGGGACAGGCTCTCAGAGGAAACTGCCCATGACAGCACCACCCCCTCCCAGGAACCCATAGACCCCCTGATCATGGAAAAATACACACAGAGGCTACACACTGAGGTGAGGGGAAGGCCCAGCAGCCAAAACTCCCCCTCATCCCCTGTGCATACCTCTCCCATCAGTGAGGAGCCCCAGGCACGGGGTGTGGGAGTCAGACTTCATGACTGTGCAGCACACCTGGGGTGTCAGGTGGTGGGCACTGTGGGCAAGAGATGGCGACCTAGGGCCAGGGCAGGCCTCAGGGAGAGGCTGACGTTGAACAAAGGGGCAGAGGAAGGAGGTCCAGGGCAGCTGGGTTGACATCCCGAGAAAAATGCCCTAGCTAGGGATGCAGCCAAGCCAGAGGAAGGGGAGGCCACAGAGCAGGGAGGGAGGGCTTGGCAGGGGACCCTGAGGGTCAGGTGGGTTTCCCCTCCTGGAAAACAGGCTACCGGTGGGCAGGAGGAGGTCCATCTGTCTGTGCTGCTCCCACCTGCTGCTTGGGTCAGGTGCACCTTGGGAGAACACAGTGTGGGCTAGTCTTGATCCATTTTCACAGTCATTTCTAAGGAAAGAAGTTTGTTTGGTCTCATGGCTATGGAGGGTGGCAAGTTTACATACAAGCCTGGCACAGGCGAACGGCCTTGTGCCCCCTCAGTTCATGGTGGAAAGAGGAAAGCAGACAGGCATTTGCAGAGATGGCAGAACCAAGGGGCAGCCTCACTTCCTAGCAACCAGCTCTCTGCATGGCTGATCCAATCCTGAAGGCAAGAACTCACATTCCCATGGTGGCACAGGTTGGAGCCCTCAGGAGCAAACTCCTCCTTAAGGTGCCCCCACCTCTCCACACATAACTTCAGGCAGCACCTGCATTCCAGATTCCAGACATCTCAGCCCTAGCCATGGTACATTTCTGGCCATTGTCAGGGCTCTGAAATGCTTGGAGAGACTTGGTTGCATCTGTGTTTGAGCAGCAGCTTTGTTGTTTGCTCATGCTGGAGAGGAAATCCACAAAGTCACATTGGACAAGTCACTGCATCCACTGCACTGACCTTGCTTTGTCTCGCTCATGTTGCTAGTTTGGGAGCTGGGCTGACATCATCGCCATTGTGGTAACAGTCGGGATCTCACATATGCCACTGGTGATGTCACTGCAGTTTCTAATGCTAAGTGGGGTCTGGGAAGTAACCGAGGGACTCCGTGGCTCTTGGAGGCTGAGAATCGGCTTGTCCCAGCTGTGTGATGTGGCCCCAGGGGACGATTCAGTCTTGGAGACTGACTGTGGGTCTGGAACCTCACAGGAGGGAAGTGGACCTCTCAGAGTAGAACTGGGGCTGAGCCCAGGCTCATCTGAGGGGGGTGCCTCATCGGCACCACTCCCCGGGCTTCCTGGAGTTGTCGCTTTACCATCTCCATGTCTCCCTGCTCTCAGCTGTCTGTTTGGAACTCGGCTGATGCAAAGTTCTGCTTGTGGTATCTGTCCCATTTATCCAGGTCTGTGGGCTGCTGAACACCCTGGTGACTGACCTGATGACTCTGGCCGACGAACTCAGCTCCACGTGAAAGTGCTGACCATGCAGGGCCATGTAAAGGCCACCTGCCAGGGGACGGGCTGGCACATCAATAAAGAGCCTTTTGCTTTTCGCCCCTTCTGCCATGCCTCCCCTCTATGTCTCCAGTGGGAGTTCTTGATTGACAGCAGTTAGCTCATGGCCCAGGGCTCAGGTTTACCCACATCTCAGCTGCCCTCAGACACCCCTTGTGCTGGTTCCAGGAACCATCTGCACCCTGGGACAGGGGGATTGTATGGGATGATGAGCACAAGAACCGGAAGCAGGAGTAAGATGACTCAGGTGACAGTGTCAAACCCTGTTGTGCCTGTCCCTGGTCAGCCCTGACCATGCTTCCTGGAGCCATGCCTTCCCTAGGTGTCATCACCATCACTGGCTGTGACTGTGAGACTAGGAGGAGGACTGCAGCCCCATGGGACCTGCTCCTGAGATCCTCCCATCCTTCCGGGTCCCCAGGCTCTATCCTAGACCCCAGGATCATACCCAGCACACCCCTGGATCTAGCCATACCCCCTCGTCCTGTGCCAGAGGTGATTGTTTGGAGTTTTAGATTGCCTCTTTACACCCCTCATACCAAATCAGGTGGCCTTGAGCCATTCTTTCTGCCTAAAGCAGCGGCTAGACTTGGCGCTCCATACCTTCCTCAATAGGGAATGTGAGGGGAGCTGGAAAAGCAGTCTCTAAAAGCAGGTACCACCCGCTTTCCCAGTCTCCTATTCCTGACAACCACTGGGGCTGGGCTTCCTGTGTAAAGTGGGCTGCAGGCTCCTTGGCTAATGGCGGGTGGTCTCCAGGGTTGATGCAACAGGGAAGGTGTGGGGGCCACAGACTGGAAGCCCTCAGGTCTAAATTTAGTGTGCCTAATAAGGACACTCCTCTCTAAGGCAAAGTCCCCTCAGAGAAGACTAGGAATTGTTCTGCCTCATCTTTTAATGTCCTCCCGACCCACAGCCCTGCCCTTTCCTCTTGCAGGGGCAGAGCAAGGGTTAACTGCCTGCAGGGTGGGAGGGAAGCCAGCCACTGGCTCCAGATCTGCCCCTTGTGGGGCAGCCAGCCTGCACGCTTCCCCTTGGGTGACCATGGCCGGAAGGCACTGCCTGCCTGGCAGCAGGAAGGGGTTAAGTGCCCTGCGTCCTGTGTCCTGTTACTGCTGAAGCAGACCTGCTGGGCCAGCTGAGCAACTTTCCTCAGAGCTGAGTGCTGCCGGCTGGGCTGGCCAGTGTGGCTGGCAGGTTGGAGCAAAGCTACCGCCCTACCCGGGGTACCCTGCCATTGCCACTCGTGGAGGGTGGGCCTCCTGGGCAAGGGTCCCTAGTGGATGGCTTTGGGGCTGCTCTGGGACTGGTACGGAGGCTGCCCAGGCTGGGGCTAGGGCTGAGGCAGCCCACTGCAGAGGTAAGCACCCTTCAGGTCCCCTCCCTGGGAGCAGCAATGTCCTGAGTGGGCTTGGTGCTCAGTGCCTTCCCCGGTTCCAAGAGTGGGTGAAGAGGAGGTCAGGGCTTAGAGGATCAGGGAACCTCTTGCTTGCTACCCCTCCCTCCCTCCCTGTCACCACGGAAGGGGACTCAGGACTCTGGGAGGGGACTTAGGACTCTCTCTACACCCCAGGATGTAGCATCTTTGGTGGTGGTCTCCAGGGCAGCCCCCACCCCACCCCACCCCAGCCTTCCTGTCTCTTCTGGAACTAGGAACTGGAAGCTGTCATTCCCCAGCTGCTCCCTCTAGACCTGGCCCCAGGGAAGAGGCTGCTGAGGCCCCTGACTCTGAATAAACTCCTGCAGTCTGAACCTCACTGGGGGGTGGATGGTCCATGCTCTTCCTTACCCGCCCCTCACACCTCCTCCTGCAGTTCTCCGCTGTGAGACAGGTATGTCCCAACACCCACCTCACCCCCTGCTGGCCCTTTTCCCACTCCCTCCGTCCTTGTCCCTTCTGCCCTCTTCCCCACCCCCTACGCTCCACATTTCAGAATTGGCCTCCCTGGCCCTGCCTTCTCTGTGTCCTTCCCTCCACCTGACAGGGTCTGGCTCAAGGTCACTGCAGTAATTCCATACCCGGCTGCCCGGGGCTGCCGCTGCCACCACCACCGTCTTATCGGCTGCTGGGTTTCTGTTTCACTCCCTTTAATTTCTGGGCATATTGTGTTCGATAAAACCCTTTGCTTGTAACGCGGCTGGCAGCGCTCCCAGCCGCTCCCTCCCGCCTTCCTTCCCTTCCTCCTCCCTCCCCTCCACGCTGCTCCCTCGGCCTCACCCCGCCCCCTCCTCCTCCCTCCCTCCCCTGCCCCCTCACACTCCTGGGCTGTGAGGGCGAGCCACCTCCTGGCTGGGCTGGTAGCATGCATTTCTGATCTCCTGCCTCTCCTCCAGCTCTGGCAGAAAATGCCCAGCTTCAAGGAGAAAAGTGTACCCCAGGCCTGGGTCCCCTCCCACTAGGCCAGTACCCCCATCCAAACCAGGGAGGGCTCTGGTGGAGGCAGGATACCTGACTGGTTCTGCTGGTTCCAGTGGCCAGTAGGGAGGGGCGACCGCCAGGGCGGGCAAGGGTGCACAATTATTTCTCATCTTGACTCTGCCACCTGCCCCAGTCGGGAAGCTGAGGACAGGTCTGAGTCATGGACAAGGGGGAGGGCAGAAGTTAAACAAGTTGTGGCCGCGGCATCCCCACAGAAGGCCAGCCACCGGCTGGACAGGAAGACAAACAGAAGCCAGAAGGTAGGGACACCCCACTCCTTCCTTGGGGCCTGAACCCACCCAGGGCCCCTGGCCCAAAGAACCTACCAAGGTCTATGGGGCAGCAGGGCTGGGGTAGAAAGAGTGGTGTTGAGTGGGAGAGCAGGTTGTCTGCTATCCCTGGTAGCCTGGGGACCAGCTGAAGCCAGGTCAGGCTGGGAAGGTGGCAGGGCTGAGAGGTGTCAGGAGGTGGGGAAGCACTGCCCCCAGGCCCAGCATAGAACTTGAGCAAGCGCACCTGTGTTCCTGAGGGTGGAATGGCAGTAGCAGGGGATTCCTCTTTTGGCTTTTTTAAGAGGCCTTGGGAATAGAGAGCTTTATGCTCTCTGGGGCCTGGGTTTGGTCTTGACGCTGGCAGGAGGGAGGTGGGCAGGTCCCAACCCTCCTCAATCTGGGAGTGTCAGAGGTATGCTATGTACCCAGGGCTTGGGGGCTCCTTCTAGCTGGGAAGGTGGCACTGAGACAGTCAACCAGATGAATTATTTACCATACTGCATGGCATTGATGATAGATGATCAATGGTGAGTCTCTTGGAAACCCAGGTGTCAGTCTAGCTCTGCCTCCTACCTGCTGAGGTCGATATGCATGTGTGTGGCAGGCATTAGATCCCTGTGGAAAGTGGCCTTCCCCGTCCCTCCCCTGGGGCCGGCTCGCAGCACTGCCTCCTTGAGCTGTCCTTTTGCGCTATGGGGTTCACTCCTCCTCACCCCCCCCTTTGGTCAGCCATCTCCTCTTGGAGGGCTCCCCTGCTTCTTCTTGCTTGCCTTGCTCTCCACTTGCCCATGCAAACTGTGATTGTTTGCACTCTCTCAGCTGACCGGAGGTAGACCAGAGCAACATAGTGCCCAGCTCAGGAAAGGCCTCCAGGAAACAGACAAAAGTCAACATGAGCAGCGAGCCAGGAGGGTGACAATAGAAGGCAGAGAGGACAGACCCTGAGCTAGGCCCTGGCAGAACTGAAGAGGTGGCCAAGGAGAAGGGAAGCTAAGGGCACATTCCTGGGCATCCTGGCATCTCCATGGAGGGGGCAGCCTGTGACCAGATGAGCTAATAGATCCCTGAGCTTCACTTCCCCATCCGTAAGTAGCTGTAATAATACCAACAACAGCAATAATAATAATACTAATATTGGCATCTTTACTGTGGTGAGCTGGGCGGGCTTCAGGGGTCATTGCTGGTAGCTTGCCTGAATACATAAAATAAAAAAGCACACAGTAGGTTCCCACTTGGTCATCGCTTAACTTGCCTGCTAAATACATAAAATGAGAAAACACACAGTAGGTGTGTTTAGCCTCTGAGTCAGGCTAAGCGACCAGTAGCTAAGCGACCAGTGAGACCAGCCACAGTCCCTGAGCTCCGGCCCCTCTCTTCCTCAGCCCCATGTGGAACCCACGGATGCAGCCACCCTGCTGAGAGCACCTTGGTTCACCCTCAGAGACTGTGACCTCAAGACGGTGGCCCTCCCCAGCCCTCCACCTCCGGCGGGGGTGAGCGCTGGCCCCCTGCAAGTCACCGGCCATGACAACATCCGCGCTGCGACGCCAGGTGAAGAACATTGTGCACAACTATTCAGAGGCCGAGATCAAAGTGCGCGAGGCCACCAGCAATGACCCCTGGGGCCCGCCCAGCTCGCTCATGTCCGAGATCGCCGACCTGACCTTCAACACGGTAGCCTTTGCTGAGGTCATGGGCATGCTATGGCGACGGCTCAATGACAGCGGCAAGAACTGGCGGCACGTGTACAAGGCACTGACGCTGCTGGACTACCTGCTCAAGACGGGCTCTGAGAGGGTAGCCCAGCAGTGCCGTGAGAACCTCTACACCATCCAGACCCTCAAGGACTTCCAGTACATGGACCGCGATGGCAAGGACCAGGGTGTCAATGTGCGCGAGAAGGTCAAGCAAGTGATGGCCTTGCTTAAGGATGAAGAGCGCCTACGGCAGGAGCGGAGCCATGCCCTCAAGACCAAGGAGCGCATGGCACTGGAGGGTACAGGCATTGGCAGTGGACAGCTGGGCTTCAGCCGCCGCCATGGCGAGGACTATGGGCGCACCCGTGGTTCCCCATCCTCCTACAACTGTGAGTGGGTTGGGGTGGGGTGGGAGTGCTGGGCCCAAGTGAGCTCTAAGCTCCAATCATGCCTCCGTAATTCCGAGCCATGGAGTACAGGGTGGATCTCCAAGAGACGGACAAAGGAGTCAGTGAGGGAAGTTGGTGGGCACTCACCGAAGGGCTTTAACTGTGACAAGCAAGGCCTCAGACAATCATGATGCTGACACATGATTGTCTATTAGGGCGGCACAGTGCCAGAACACAGGCCCTGGGAGTCGAATATCCCCATCCAAGCTGCGTGATCTTAGCAGCCAGTTCTGTATACCTCAGCATCCCCATTTATAAAGTGGGCATAATCTTAGTTCTGGTACTGTCTGAGCCAAACCTTAAAGGAGGCCAGGAATGCCCTTGACCCTGTGGCCAGACACCGGCATTCACTCTGGTCATGCGCCCCGCCTCCCCCACCACTGGAGAGTACTGTTCTTGAGAACAGGAGCACCTGCCAGCCGGTTCCTGACTCTCCTTTCCCCTGTGGCAGAAGGCTCCCCATGAAATCCTGCTGGCAGTTTTTGCTGCAGCTTTGAGGTCATGACCTTGTTGCACTGAAACCTCCCAGCTTCCCACATGTGCTTGAGCAGGCTGCCTGGAAGGGTCCAGGGGCCACAATCAAAGGTTCTGGGTTTAGGATCCTGGCCAGCCTGCCCCCTGAACCATGCGTGCATCTGCCAAGAAGGAGCTGCAGTGGAAGGGGAAAACTTGGGCAGAGTGGTCCTCTGGGGTCCTCAACTGCCAGATGTGTCCCCCACCCCCTGTCAGTGGTCCCCTCTGGACTACAGCTTCCTGGCAGGCAGAGGGTACGGGCCTGGCCACAGAAGACCCAATCATTGTTGCAGCCTCCTCTTCATCCCCCCGCTACACTTCTGACCTGGAGCAGGCCCGGCCTCAGACATCAGGAGAGGAAGAATTGCAGCTACAGCTGGCATTGGCCATGAGCCGCGAGGAAGCTGAGAAGGTGAGGACCCCCTCCCCAGGCAGGGCAGGGCTGGGCTGGAGAGGGGGGAAGAAGAGCTTAGGTACTTCATGACCTCAACTCAGACTCCCAGAGTCTCCCAGTGGCGCCCAGAAACCCCACTCCTGCCCCCAAGGCCAGCACAGGGCCTGTCTATATCTTTGAAACTGAACCCAGCAGGGACTGCCTGTCTCCCTCCCTCCCTCCAGCCCTCTGGCTGGGCCTCTAGAGATTGGTACATGTGTGCTTGGGTCCTTGTAGTGATGGTGGTTGGAGAGGGTGAGGGTACTAATAGTGTCCTAGGAGACACTGGGCTCTTTGCGCCCCCCCCCCACACCAGTTGTCCCTTTGCCACTTTGTAGAGACAGGGACAATATACCCCTGAGGTCATCTTTGCTGCTGTCCGTGCATCTGTGGCCCCAGGAAGACAACTGGGCGGCATATAGCAGGCTACCTAGGAGAGAATGATTACCCTGTCCCACCACCCCATTACCCAGACAGGACTGTGCTGTCTGGTCCCAGGGTGGGAGCACAGGGCCAAGTTCACCTGTATCTTCCTCCCTCACAGCCGGTCCCCCCAGCTTCCCCCAGGGACGAGGACCTGCAGTTACAGCTGGCTCTGCGCCTGAGCCGGCAGGAGCACGAGAAGGTAGTGAGTGGGCCGAGCCACCTGGGCTGCAGGTGCTGCTGCCGGTGAAGGCACTGCTGCTGCTGGTGGTGGAGGCACTCGCTGCTGCGTGGGCACTGACAGGCTCCTGGCGCTGCCCCCGGGGGGGTCCCGCCACGCTCAATCTCTCAGCTGCCTCCCGCTCTGCACTCTCGTTGACTTCAGTCTCAGATGTACCCTCAGGTCTGGCCTGGGCAGCTCACACTCTTCCTTCTGTGCCTTCTGCAGGAGGTGAGGTCCTGGCGAGGGGACGATTCCCCTACAGCCAATGGCATGGGGGCCACCTCCCACCACCGGCAAGACCAAGAGCCAGAGAGAGAAGACAGAAAGGAGGAGGAGAAGCTGACAACCAGCCAGGTACAGGGCAGGCTGGGTGCTAGACAAGGCCTGAGAGGAACGCAGTGTTGGCACTTGTCCAGTGCAGACAGTGTGTGGTCTATGGCACACGCTAAGTAGCCATTAAATCACAATGTCTGGAGTTGGCGGGGGGTGGGGGGGTCAGTTCTAGCAGCCTCCCATCCTGACTGCAATGACAGTTCAACGTGAGATGAGAATCTTGAGTTCTGGGTTTGCTGTTATCACTTACATGATAACTCGGAGCACTTCAGTGTTGTGGCCAGTTCCTTGTACTTTGTGGATAACAGCGGGAAGGGGAGCTCAGGCACATAGCACTGGCGACCTCTGGGGCTCAGACACATGCTCCCCAGGGAGAGGCACCAGCTCCCCCTGCCTCTCCCCTGGGGTGTCTCTGTCCCAGCCTGCCCATATCTGTGGAGGTACCTCCTTGCTAAGAAGTCTGCCTACTTCTGCTCCTCTGGGTTCTAGCCCAGCTCTGCCTCCCTCTGGCTATTTCACTTTGGGAAAATGGATGCCCCTCTCTGGGCCTCAGCTGCCTCACCTGTGAAATGGGCACATCCCCCGCTCCTGTCTACCACACGAATTTGAGAATCAGGCACTGAACAGATAAGGAAACATGCCTAGCCTGGGGATCTGTGGACAAAGGTGAGGGATTGTTAAGAGATGTTTGTGGAATGAATAAAGGAGGGAATGAGCTGGAGTCAGGCCAGCCACTGCCCTGCCAGCCAGCCCCACCCACTTCTGAGCTCTGGTTGCCTCTCCCCTCCACAGTCCTCCATCCTGGACTTGGTCGACATCTTCACACCTGCCCCAGCCCTGCCCTCCACACACTCTGCCGGTCCGTGGGACATTCCAGGTGGGCATGGACTGGCCAGAGAATGCTTCCTTGTCCTCCCTCAGGGCCCTGCTGGCAGCCCCTCCCTGACAGCTGAGCCTTGTGGCTTTCTCAGTGACATCTTGTTGGGGGTGGGGGCAGCTGAAAGGTTCTGCTCTCTGAAAGTCTCTTCTTTGGATGCCCTCAGCGGCTCAGCCCCACTGAGAGAGAGAGAGAGAGAGAGAGAGAGAGAGAGAGGCTGCCAGGGCTGCCTCATGCCTGGGGTCCCGCTCCTGGGATAACATTTCTCCAGCTTACTGGCTGATCCCTAAGTCAGCATCCCCGCCAGGGCACTGGATAGGTCCCCCACCCTCGGGAAGGGGCAGGGCAGGGCAGAGCAGGGCTCATGGCTGCCGTGTTCTCATTGCAGGTCTCAGGCCAAGCGCAGAGCCTAGCGGTTCTTCCTGGGGGTCTTCTGCAGACCCCTGGTCCCCCATGCCCTCAGGGGACACCCGGTCCCGAAGCCAGCCTTGGGATCTGCTTCCCACGCTCTCCTCCTCTGAACCCTGGGGCAGGACCCCAGTCCTGCCTGCTGGCCCCCCCACCACAGACCCCTGGGCACCCATTTCTCCCCACCACAAAGTCCCCAGCACTGGGGCAAACCCGTGGGGGACCCCCATGGAGACCTCAGATACACCTGGTAGGTAGAGGGCCAGAGGCTGGGGGAGAGGCTGGAGGCTGCTGGGTATCCCTGCCTCCTGCCCTGCCACCTGCCCCTTTTATATCTTTCTGCTGGTTCTAGGCAGTACCTCGGTCTTGGACCCATTTGCCAATCTTTCAGAATCTACAGAGCCCAAGGAGGCCCAAGCCCTGCCCGCCATGAAGCCTGCAAGCCCTGTGGGTGAGCAGACCAGAGGGGAAGCCAGGCTGGAAGAAAGCGTCCTCTGCCTCCTCTTCCTCCCTCCCCCCACCCAGGTGGTCCATCCCTCACCCCCCCAGTGACCTCCCATTTCTCCCCCAGAGCTGGACCTGCTTGGAGAGCCCAGCCCGAGTTCCAAGCAAAATGGCACGAAGGAACCTGACACCTTTGACCTGGGCGTATTGGGAGAAGCGCTGACCCAGCCCAGCAAGGAAGCCCCTGCCTGCCGCACTCCGGAGTCCTTCCTGGGACCCTCGGCCTCATCCTTGGTCAACCTTGACTCGCTGGTCAAGGCGCCTTTGGCGGCAACGACCCGGAACCCCTTCCTCACAGGTAGTACACCCCACTTCCTACACCCCACCTAGCAAGACCCAGCCTAGCCGCTGGGACCTAGCCGCTGTCCTAAAATCCTTCTCTCTCCTCCCATTTTGAAGCACCCTCTCCACTTAGGACTGTGGCCCCGGGGACCACTCCAAGCCCCTTGCGCACATTCCTTCCCGCAGGTCTCAGTGCTCCATCACCCACCAACCCGTTCGATGCAGGCGAGCAGGGCAGACCGACGCTAAACCAGATGCGCGCGGCCTCGCCAGCCCTGGGCGGGCCTATCAGGGCTCCCCTAGGCTCCATGACCTACAGCGCCTCCCTTCCCCTCCCGCTCAGCAGCGTGCCGGTCACCGCGACCCTCCCCGCCTCCGCCAGTGTCTTTCCGCAGGCCGGTGCCTTCGCGCCGCTGCCCGCAAGCCTGCCGCAGCCGCTGCTGCCCACGTCCGGCTCGGCTGGGCCGCTGCACCTGCCCCCGCAGGCCGGCACCAACCCCTTCCTCTGAGCGCCGCCTGGCGCATGCGCGCCAAGGCCCTGCTTGCGCTCTACCCACCACCCTTCCCCCTGGTCTGGGGCGGGGTGGTCGCACTCGGGGACCACTGATGGCGACCTCAGGCGACCCCCAGCAAAACTAGAGATCACTGTGTTCCGGGGGCCGAAACCACGCCCCCAAAATAAAGACTGGAAACCACGACCTCTCAGCAAGTGGACTGATTGCAGGGTGTGGCACCAGGGCTGGACCACAGCACCCATCACTGGCTGCGGAGACCATTCCTCCACAACTGGGGCGCCAGAATGGCCCCTCCCAGCCCTCTCAATCTGCCCGCCCTCACTTCCCCCATCAGTTTGGCTCCTGTGGTCACTACCATGGCACTAGGTGACATGCAACAGCCAAGGACAAAAGGTGTTTGTTTCATTTATTGTGCACTGTTTGGGAGCTAAGTACCTTAGGCAGATCATTCTATTTAAATTCTCGCACCTACCCTGACAGGCAGGTGATAGTATTTGTTCTTTTTCAGAAGGCCTGGGGCCAAGCACTAAATGCAGCTACAGGGCTCTAGGCTCTCACCAGGACTGTATATGTCCAGGCAGGGAGAGTAGGTGAATGAAGTGCACCAAGTCCTCTGACAGCCACTGTCCAGGACTCACCCCTTCTTGCAGCTGGCACTCCTCTCATTCACAGATGAAGAAACCGCAGTTCAACTCCCTGAGTCCTGGAAGCCCTGGGCAGAGCTGAGAGTGGAGATGAGGGCATGAGAAAGCCTGACTCTGCAGCCAGCTGCTCTCCCAGGCTGAGCCCCGATCGAATATTGACTGGTGGCTGTGGACCAAATGCTGGGCTCACATGGGATGGGTCTGAAATTTATTCAACCCACAGCCTTTAGGAGCTAAAAATGCAGCAGGGCTGACAAGCTGGTGGCAGATGCAGGAGCAGTAGTGCAGACCCAGTGTGGGAGCTGGCCTCCCCTTTTGCACAGAACCCCCTCCAGTCAGACTCTCCCTGCCTTCCCCAGGACCGGAAAGAAACTCAGCTCTCCTGGGGGCTCATGCGGGGTGGGGAGGGAAACACCCTGTGTCCTTAGAGCTTGGGCTGAGATGGGGTTGGGGGAGAGGGTCTTACCCTAGTTCCGTGATGGAAGGATAAGAGCACCTGCTATGCAGCCAGCCCACAGGGTTCAGGCCACGCTCTTTGGTTTGAACTTGGGAATAATGCTAATCACTCAAACATCAGTGACTCTGTTCCATGACCTTGGCTACACCTGTGTTTCCTTGCTTCCTGATGAGGTCACTACGTGTGCGGGTGTGTGTGTGTGTGTGTGTGTATGCATGCTCCTGTGTCCCTCCCTCGGCCCACCCCCTTCTGCAACCTGCCCTGAGCACTGAACCCACTGTGGCTAACACACCTGGCCCGGCTGAGCACAACAGCTCCATCTTAATGCTATCTGTCAGCCCCTCCCTCTGTGCCTGCCCCACCTGGGCTTGGACTGTGCCCTGTGCAGAGCTGTCCTTCTCCTCCTCCAGGAAGTCCTCCCAGGGCTGCCAACATCCCCAGATGCTCAGGCTCCCCTTGGCCAGGTTTTACCTCCATCCCAAATGGAAGCAGGGTGGGGCTCTCTGAGCTCCGCCTTGTTGCCTGCTGCTGGTGCTGATCCTTCACAGCTGCCAGCACACCCCCAGGAGGCCAGGTCTCTGCTTCTTTGGCTCCTGGCCAGCGCCAGCAACCTTCCCATGCTGTGTGGCATCTCCAATTGCTCAGTGTGTTCACCTCACAGCCTCTCTCTGAGCCCTCCCCCAGGCCTGCCTGCAGCCTCCGTGTGTCCCCAGCCAGCTGGCCCTTCACCCCAGGGGCTCCCTTCACCCACCCATCCCTGCTCTCCTGTGCAATTCTGTCCACAGGGCTCAGCAACTGCCAAATGGGATCAAGGGTTCCTTCCCATGTCACAGGCCATGGTCTCCTCCCCTGACAGCCTGTCCCTCCTAGCCTGGGCCACTCCCTGTCCCTGTGTATGCCACAGGACCGCATGAGCTCCGCCCCCTCCCTGGCCCTGGCTTCAGGCCTGCCCGTGCCCTGCAAGCCACCTTGTCACACCCTCTTGTCTTGCTCAGTGCCTAAGTGCTGTTGCCCCCTCTCCTGGCATGTGGTCCACTCCCTGCCCAGCAGGTGCACTGCTACCACCCCTGGCCAGCCTTCCTGTCTCCCCTGAAGGTTGGGGGCCACTCTGACTACCTCCTTGGCCCCTACCCCGACTTTGACCCTATTCCAGCCCATTCTCCACTGGGCAGCTGGCAGGATCTTTCAAAAAATGCAGATCCCACTGGCTCATCAATGTCTCAGCTAAAACCCTCCAACAGCCTCCTTTTGCTGTCACCAAAAATGCCCTCTCATAGCTCCCATATCCCTCCCAGACTTGGCTCCTACCCTACCTTACCCAAACTCCTAGTTTCATCTGTCACCTGTCTTTGTCTACTCTGTGCACAGCCAGTGGCCTCCTGTGATTCCTCAGTCCTGACAAGCCCACATGCCACAGGGCCTTTGCACAAGTGGTTCTCACTCCCTACTTCTCCAGCACTCCAACACATCCCCTCCAGTTCCCTCCTCTTGTCCTCTGTGACCACTACACAGATGTGATTCCACCAGATCAGCTCCCTTGTGAGGCCCGTCCACAACATTTGTCACAGTAGTTGTTTGCAGCTTCCCATGTGTGTGGCTCTTGGCCTGTGAGCCGTCTCTCTCTACCCACCCATGTACAGTCAAATGTACATGGGTGTACAGACTGGGTGCAGCAAATACAACAAGTGTATCACATGTCTCGAGACACAAAGGTGGCTCAGCTCCCAGCATAGGAACCAAGCAGGACCTTAAAGTGGGGGGCGCTGGGCCAAGGCAAGCTTCCAAGCTGGGTGCACCTGCATAAGGCATGTTTTCAGGGGTGTGTGGAGGGGACAGTGGCCTCGCTTCCCACTCACTGGACAGATTCCACGACACTGGCTTTCCCATCATGGGGCTATCAAGTTGAGTCCAACCCAATTTTGTGCAACCCCAAGCCTTCTCCCTAAGCTGTAGTTTTGGACTCGGCCAGCTGGCGGCGCTCGGAGACCGACCACGGGGCCCGGCGTCTGGCCAGGGCCCGCCCACGGCTCTGTCGTTGCCCCGCCCGCCCCTCGCAGCTTCAGGATCTCCTTCCGTGTCCGTGGTGGCCGGGCCCACGGCTCCGGAGCAGCCATGCTGGGTGCGCGAGGCTGGCTGCGCCGCTGCCAACTGTTGCCCCGCGCCGGGCTGGGCCTCGCTGCGTGTCGTAGGTACGGGCGGGGGTCGGGGAGCGAGCCGGCCGCCGGGGCGCGCCCTGGGCCTACGAGGGGCGGAAACTCCACCCGCCATCACGCCATAGCCGTTCCTCCGTGGAGGGGCGGGGGTGCACACCGGTCTCCAGGGACTAGCCCCACAGCCCCTGCATGCTCAGGTCGCCCCCCTGCGCCTCTCCATCTGCTTCCATGAGCGACCTGCCTCCTTCAGGTTACACAGCTAGTTCTCCGCAGGCCGGTTCTGGTGCAGGCCTAGAGTGAGACCCCAGGCTGGGCTAAGGACCAACCGGGCTTAGAGCCAGTCACTTCATTGCTGCAGACCAGTCGTTATTTAGGCCTGCACCATAGTGCAGCCACCCGCCTGGGCTGCACTTCCTGCCTGGTGTCCTGCAGGTCTGGCTGGTATGAGCAGACACCACAAAAACGCCCAACAGAAGGGTGTTGAGTGAGGAGGTCCTCTGTCTGCCTCACATGCTCCAGTGCCAGACCCCAGTCTCCCTGGACACAGTCAGTAGTGGCTGGCAGGTGCAGGCACCCTGGGGAGGGGCAGCTTCCAGGGAGAGAATGGAGCTCCCAGGACCATTCTGTCCATTGTGACCCGCCCTGACCTCACAGTGATCCCTCCCAGCACCGGGTCCGAAAGGTTGGGGAGACGAACCTGGCAGGGAGCCCCCAATGAGCCACCTGACCTCATCCCCCCCAAAACCCAAGGGGGAGCACAAAGGCCACAGTCTCCCCCGTGGTTCAGAAAGGTGGGCGGGGCCGAGGGCTGGGCGGAGGGCAGTGCACTCCGGGGTGGACCTGGGAACAGGTGCCAGAGGGTCCCGCCTGCGTGACCCACCTGCCCATGCCAGGGGTAGCTCCTCCCGGGATAAGGACCGAAGCTCATCGGTCAGTAGTTCCACGTCCATGCCTGCTGGAGGGAAGGGAAGCCGGCCCAGCAGTACCCCGTCGGTGCCCCAGAAGACCCCCAACCGCCTGATTAATGAGAAGTCACCGTACCTCCTGCAGCATGCCTACAATCCTGTGGACTGGTGAGTCTCCCTCCCTCGGCCATGCCCAGAGTACCTGGGGTTACCAGGGGCTGCTGGCTGAGTAACTGAACCCCCTCCCTGGACTTAGGTACCCCTGGGGTCAGGAAGCTTTTGACAAAGCCAGGAAGGAAAACAAGCCCATCTTCCTCTCAGGTAACAGCCCAGGAGTGGCAGGGTGCGGGGCATGGGGTGTCTGGGAGAGTGGAGATCAGGTCTCTGGGCTCTGTCACTGCACCTGCTGTGGCCTCCTCCCCTGGTTGCAGTGGGGTACTCCACCTGCCACTGGTGCCACATGATGGAGGAAGAGTCGTTCCAGAATGAGGAGATCGGCCGCCTGCTCAGTGAAGACTTCGTCAGTGTCAAGGTGGACCGGGAGGAGCGGCCAGATGTGGACAAGGTGTACATGACCTTCGTGCAGGTGAGACATCTTCCCCTAGGTGCCATGGTCTGTGCCAGCACAGTTCCCTTACACCAGCCCCTCTCTCTGCCAGGCCACCAGCAGCGGTGGAGGCTGGCCCATGAATGTGTGGCTCACTCCCAACCTGCAACCCTTTGTTGGGGGCACATACTTCCCCCCTGAGGATGGCTTGACCCGTGTGGGCTTCCGAACAGTGTTGCTGAGAATACGAGATCAAGTGAGTATGGGCAGGTGAGGTGGGACTGAGAGCTGGGTTAGGGGGTGCTGCCCGCAGCCCCTTATGACCCCAGAGTATGCCCCTCTCCCCTCCCCACTATACAGTGGAAACAGAACCAGAACAGCCTGCTAGAAAACAGCCAGCGAGTCACTACCGCCCTGCTGGCCCGCTCCGAGATCAGCACTGGGGACCGCCAGGCGCCTCCTTCGGCTGCCACCATGAACAGCCGCTGCTTCCAGCAGCTGGATGAGGGCTATGATGAGGAATATGGTGGATTTGCAGAGGCCCCCAAGTTTCCCACACCAGGTCATTGCCCGCATCCCCACTCCTACCTCCTTACCCAGGCTCCTATTGGACTAAGTCACAGAGCTCCTATCTCCTGATTGGCCAACAACCGCCTTGTTCTTGGCCTGTTGGTATCTGGTGAAGATTTGACATCCGCTGAAGGGGCCTAGAGCTTGACCTAGATAATGACCTTCTGGCCAACCCTAGGCTGTGGCCTTGGCCTAACTCTGACCTTTCTGGTCTGCTGTGTCATCCGACCTCTGACTGGGACCTTGTGTGCTATGGGCTGAGGACTCATCCTTGCTAAAGACCCCAGCCCCAGCCTGGCTGCCCTTCCCCCGACTCCCAGCCCCTGTCGTCTTACCCATTGTTCTTGGTGCCTCTACAGTGATCCTGAACTTCCTGTTCTCATACTGGCTCAGCCATCGCCTGACCCAGGATGGTTCTCGGGCCCAGCAGATGGCCTTGCATACCCTGAAAATGATGGCTAATGGGGGCATTCGGGACCATGTAGGGCAGGTGAGCAGGAGGGCTGGGCATCCCCTGAGGCTCAGTGGGGCCCAGGCAGACCCTTGCTTCCAGCCCCCTGTCGCACCTGACACAGGGCTTCCACCGCTACTCCACGGACCGCCAGTGGCACGTGCCCCACTTCGAGAAGATGCTATATGACCAGGCGCAGCTTGCCGTGGCCTATGCGCAAGCCTTCCAGGTGACCCCTGATGCCCGCAGTATCGGTCCTGCCCCCTCCAGGGCCTTCTCACCTTCTAATTCTGTTCCAGAAACATCCACTGCCCAAGCTCCCCTCACCCCCTCCCTGGGAGGATGGGGACCTGTCCTCACAGCCTCTCTTCCGCCACTCAGATCTCTGGTGAGGAGTTCTACTCTGACGTGGCCAAAGGTATCCTGCAGTACGTGACACGGAGTCTCAGCCACCGGGTATGTGTGTCTGCTGATGCAGTGGGCAGGAGAGATTGGTTACTCCCCTTGCTCCCTTGCTTCCAACCCTGCTCTGTCTGTCCTTGGCGCTGGGCCAGCTACCTTTCCCCTCCTCTGCAGTCTGGAGGCTTCTACAGCGCTGAAGATGCTGACTCGCCCCCGGAGCGTGGCCTGCGGCCCAAGGAGGGCGCCTTCTACTTGTGGACGGTGAAGGAGGTGCAGCAGCTGCTCCCTGAGCCGGTTCAGGGCGCCACAGAGCCACTGACCTCAGGCCAGCTCCTCATGAAGCACTATGGCCTCACCGAGGCTGGCAACATTAGCCCCAACCAGGTGAGGGTCCCATGACAGGCCCACTGGCCTCAGCAATCCCCTTGGGCAGTGGGGGGGGGGCAGGAGTGGGGCTGGACTCCTTCCCACCACAGCTGCTGCCATTCTCAGGACCCTAGCGGGGAGCTGCAAGGCCAGAACGTGCTGACCGTTCGCTACTCACTGGAGCTAACTGCCGCCCGCTTCGGCCTGGATGTGGAAGCCGTGCAAACCCTGCTCAGTGCGGGCTTGGAGAAGCTCTTCCAGGCGCGAAAACATCGGCCCAAACCACACCTTGATAGCAAGATGCTGGCGGCCTGGAATGGTGGGGCACCAGGTCCCGGGCTGATCCTGTGGGTAGACGCACCTTTCCCTATGCCCCTTCTGCAGCATCCCTGGCCATGGCTTCCTTCCCTGGTAGATGTGTTACCTTCGACCTCCAAATGAGCAACTCTAGCCTCCTGGAGGGTTTGAGAGTCACTTCCCTGGGGCCTCATGCTCACCTCATCACTGCCAAGAGGCACTGGGGCCTAAGGTGTGGGCAGTCATCCCTGGAAGGGCCTGGCTGGCATCTCACCTGCCCTGGTGCCTCCGCCCTCCAGGTCTGATGGTGTCAGGTTATGCAGTGACTGGAGCCATCCTGGGCATGGACAAGCTGATTAACCATGCCACCAATGGTGCCAAATTCCTCAAGCGACACATGTTTGATGTGGCCAGTGGCCGCCTGAAACGGACCTGCTATGCTGGCTCTGGGGGTGCTGTGGACCACAGGTGGGGACTGGGCAGACAGTTGACAGTGGGGTGGTGGTAGCTTCTCCCTTCTGGTGGTCTCCATCCATGACTGGATATGCTACACATTCTTGAATGCTGAGCCTCATGGGGCTTATTTACTGGTCTGGGAAATGGGCCAGCAGCTGGATTGGCAGTTACCTGGAGGAGTGTGTTGAAGAGACTCCTGTGTGACACCCTTTTCCCCTGGACCCATTTTCCCCCTCTGCCAGCAACCCACCCTGCTGGGGCTTCCTGGAGGACTACGCTTTCGTGGTACGAGGCCTGCTGGACCTGTATGAGGCCTCACAGGAGAGCTCGTGGCTCGAATGGGCTCTGCGGCTGCAGGACACCCAGGACAGGCTCTTCTGGGACACCCAGGGTGGTGGCTACTTCTGCAGTGAGGCCGAGTTGGGGGCTGGGCTGCCCCTGCGCCTGAAGGACGGTCAGTGGCAGGTGCAAGGCAGACCTGGGCTCTCCTGGACCCCATGGGGGTGTGGATGGTCTGTTCCTATGGTGGCAGAAGAGAAGCCAAGGTTGGGGTCCTGTGGCTTCACAGCCTGCTGTTTGCTAGCCAACTGTGTGACTTTGGGCAGGTCACAGGATATTCCCAAGCTTCAAGCTCCTAATATGCCACATGAACCTAACATTGGTAGTGGCTTTCAGGTTCTGTGTATACATGAGCCAGCTGTTGTGTGCGCACACTTGGCACAGTAGCTGCACTCCCAGAGGCTGACCCCAATTACTGCCCTGGGGGAGCTGCCTGCATGGTAGGAAAGATTTGTGATAGGCAGTGATAGTGGGAAAGCGTGTATGCTACACAAAGCTGAACTGGCAAGTGCCATAGGGAACCCAGAGTCATCTTCAAATGCCTGTTTCTGTCTGGCCTGGATGTCTCATCCCAGCTCCTTAAAAACAGGGCTTCCTGTTGCTGTGGCAGTCCCAGGGGCCTGGGGCAGTCCTGGCACATTATAGGTGCTCTCTGACTATAAGGGGTGGTGTTGCCACTTCACAGCCCTAGGGCAGGGCCTGAGATCCAGTGACTCTCCCTTCACCAGCTGTCCCCTATTCCCACAGATCAGGATGGTGCAGAGCCCAGTGCCAACTCTGTGTCAGCCCACAATCTGCTCCGGCTGCATGGCTTCACAGGCCACAAGGACTGGATGGACAAGTGTGTGTGCCTGTTGACTGCCTTCTCTGAGCGCATGCGCCGGGTGCCCGTGGCATTGCCCGAGATGGTTCGTGCCCTCTCAGCCCACCAGCAAACACTCAAGCAGGTGGGGATCCTGGGCAAAGGGGCAGGGAGCTGGGGCCACAGTGAGAATGGTGGGTGGTGAGAATTCGGGGGGGGGCCTTGGGCTATCTCCAGAGGTCAGTTCTGTATGTGTGTGTGTAGACCTGCTCCCTACCCAGACAGGTGCCTGTGTGACTGTCCCTGTGTTGGGGGGCAGGAGGCAGGCACTTGTAAAAGATTTCTCTATAAGGCTCCATGTGTCTGTGTCAGTGTCACAGTCCCTGAGGGTGCCGCTGCAGTGTGTGCATTTGCATATGTGCCCATGCACCTGCACGTGTAGGTGTGTGCTGAGGCAGGTGTTGACCTGTCTGCAGGTGTGTGCCCATCTTCCAGTTGGCTTGCCTGTATTTGCATATCTACCTGTGCCTGGTGCTCATAGGTGCGGTGTCTGCCTCTGCATGGGCACACATGTGTGACTGCTCCATCTCCCTGTGGCCAGGTCCCTGGGTGTGATGACTTCCAGAGTGTCAGGTCTCCTGGGCGTGTGTCTTCCTGAATTTGTGCTGCCGGGCAGAACGCTGCTTGTTGGGGTATGATTGTGTACGTGTGAAATAGCCTCCTAGATGTAGAGAGGAATCTCCCTGTTCCTTCTTAGGATGTAGGGTATGCCTAGGGAGGAGGGGGCAGTCCTGCTAGTGGGTTTGGGGTTGGTCTCCCTGCCCATCCACTGGGCACTGGACTGATCTTGCTGTTGTCACCAGATCGTGATCTGTGGGGACCCCCAGGCCAAGGACACCAAGGCTCTGTTGCAGTGCGTCCACTCCATCTATATCCCCAACAAGGTACCAGCCCCAGGAGCCTGCTCCCCAGTATTCTCCATACCCTCTCAGGACCCTGCATCCTTTTCAGTTGATCTGTTCTGCTCTACTTTCACCCCAGGTGTTGATTCTGGCTGATGGGGACCCCTCGAGCTTCTTGTCCCGCCAACTGCCATTCCTGAGTACTCTGCGGCGGCTAGAAGACCGGGCCACAGCCTATGTATGTGAGAACCAGGCCTGCTCCATGCCTGTCACTGACCCCTGTGAACTGCGCAAGCTGCTGCATCAGTGACCGTGCTGGTCCCCAAGCAAGGAGTGGAAGGTGGAGCTTCCCACTGACCGTAGACTGGGGCTTTGTCAGACTCTGCAGCACGTGTGGCCTCCCCCGGCACCCTACCATCAGGTGACTTGCGCCATTCTCACTGCCTTCCCTCCTTCCACCGTGGGCACCCACTCTCCCTGGAATAAACCTAACAGCATCCCACGGTAACCATAAGGCCTTGGCCTCATTTGCAAGATTGGCCTTGGGCTCTGTCCTGGCCCTAAGGTCCTAGGTCCCCTTCTTCTGGGAGTGCTCAGCTGACTCCTCTGCCTTCTTCCATTCTTCACTCACCATGAAGAACGAGGTCAGCAGACAGGCCTGTGTGTTCACTGTAGCCTGAGTAAAATCAGGATTGGGGCCCCAAACTGCCTACAGCAGCCAACAAGGGGTTGGTAAGAAAGCTGGCCCCACATTATCACACCCCTCCCTGCCGCTTTCCCTCATTTGGAGCTGGAGAAAGAGGAGATGCTTTTATTTTTCTCAGGGAGGTGACATGGGTACACAGCCTGGTACATGATGGGAATAGCCCTTGGCAAGGTGTCCCTGCAGAACGTTATATTGTCCATTCCCCTGCTTTGACACACGCTGGCCTGGGGAAGGAGACCTCTTTTCATTTGGCATGTCTGTCCAACTGGAAGTCCTCCTCCAAACTGGCCCATGTGCTCGCTGCTACAGAAACAGCAGGTGCCTTCCTGTGACCCCTCAGTGATGGGAGGTGTTCCCATGCTTTCCTTCCTTGGCGCCTGCATCTCTGCAGGCTTCCACCAGGGGGAGGAAAGTGGGAAGCAGGCTTTGGGAAGGACAGGTGCACAGTGACACGGCTGACAGGCCCAGAGGGAACTGGAGGGGGCAAGGGAGGCAGGGGAGAGGCACCACCCAGAGGCCTTCAGGAGTCTACTGAGTTGAGCCATCCTCAGAGCTCCCTAGCCAGCGACACAGAGGACCAGCAGAGACAGCTGGGCCCAGGAGGCCCAAGTGAGCCCGCTGTGCATGGAGCAGGGAACCAGGAGAGTGGACGGTGTCTCTGCCTGTGCATGGTCACACACGGCCACACATGGTCACTGGGACCTGAGTCAACTCTGTCTGGGCAACTGGCCCTCGGTGTGAGCCACCAGCCCATCTGGAGGGGATTAGCGCTCCGGCCAACAAGGTCAGCTGGCCCCTTGCTAGCTGGAGCCCACTCAGCCTTGCCAGGAAGTCTGAGGCTGAACAAGTGGAGCCTGGCCTGGGGGTCATGGGAGAAGCACAGGTGGCCTTTTTGGCAACTCGAACCCCGGCTTTGCTTTAGTACCGTCTGGGTAGTATGCAAAGCCCTCTTGTCAACAGCATTCCATTGACCCTTACGAATGAGAATTAGCCTCACACTGAGGGATCAGCCCAGGCCCGGAGAAGGGACATGATTGGCCTGCAACTCCTCAGCACACCTGATCTTCTCTGGTGTCCTGGGGCACAATAAAGACCACTTGGGGGGGTCCTCTTCCCTGGAGAGGAGTGGTGCAGGTTGAGGGGGAGGCTGCATTTGCTGCCTGGTGCCCCCTCCTCCAGGCCATGTTTTGCTCGGCTGCTTCTCACTGTGTCTGGTATCAGGTGTGCCTGTGGCCCGTGGCTATGAGATTCTATAATGGGCTCAGAGGAAGCAGGCAAGACTGTAGAGGGTGCTTGGATTTGTAAAGAGGGCATGGCTGAACACGAGTGTTGTTAAGATGTGTGATTTTACAGCCCGGGGTTCCCTGCGGCACGGTTTCCCCTGTGCCGGCCTGCTGCCATTCTGCCCTGCATGCTGCAGTGCAATGGGTCCCTGCAGACAGGGCCTGGCGGGTAGGCAGTCCATAGCCCCTTTAGCAGTTTTCCTCTCTGAGCCTCCTCCACTCTGCAGAACGGGGGTCAGCCACTCAGCTCAGGAGGCTACAGAGGTGGTGTTTGTGTAACCTCACAGCTGATCCATGAAAACCACCAACAGTGGGCTGCAAAGGAGTGGAGAAGGCAGGAAAGGCTTGGAGCTGAGATGGCCTCTCCCCACAACTCCTGTCTTGTGATGCTGAGATGCAAAGAGTTTCCCTCATCACCTGAAAGTGGGCTTCCAGCTAACACAGGTTTATTAAGCACCTACTGTGTGCCAAGCACTAACTGAAGCTCCCAGGAGCAGAATGGGTAACAGCCACTGCTCTAGAGGTTGTAAGGGGAGATGCCTCAGTGCCCACACGGGTACAGAATCTCAGTGGCCAGACTACCTGCTGGAGCGCAGGCAGTGTCCCAAGCTCAGCCTCTTAGTGCTGGGGTTAAAGAGGGCTGTAGTTCTTGCTTTGTCATACTCCCCATTCCCTGCTAACTCCCAGCAGCCTAGAATGGATGGGTATCTAGCTTTCCTGGACCTGACTTCAGCCCAGAGACCAGGGGTGGTCCAGTTGATGGGGGAGGACGTAGGCCTGCTGGCCATCAGAGGCAAGCGCTTCTGGCCTCATCTCCCACCTCTGCGAAGAACAGATGACTTGAGAGTGCTTGCCTCCCAGCCCCAGGAGCTCCTCGACCCCAGCTGAAAGGGCAGGCCGACCTGGCTGGTCGCCGACCCGAGGGAGCAGAGGAAGTGTCAGACCCACGGTATGGACCATAAATAGCCCCCCTCCCCACAACCTCCCAGAAGGTAGGCCGGGGTTCAAGACAGGGCGCACTGCGCCCGGAATGAGAATACACTCCCCGCCTAGAGAGAAGTGGCACTTAGGGGATGTGCTCATTAGCATAAAATGCAAATAAACCCGGCCTCATTTGCACACCCCTGCGTCCGGATTCGACGAAAAGGGCGAGCAGGGAGGCGAGGGCGCCGCAGCCACCCGGCCCTCCCCACGCCAAGCCTCCCCCGCAAGCTGCCGGGGCGCATGAGTCGAGACGCCCCCACCGGTCCGCTCCACGCCGCGGCGGGAGGCACGCGCGGCCGCCGCGTGGGTGGCGCAACCCTGGGGGAGCCAGAGAGGTGCCCCGGGGTGGGAGACGCAGGTGCCGCAGGTCAGCCAGTGCACTTCCCCACTTTCCGCAATGGCGCAGGCGCCCCAGGGCTCCAGAGGGCTCCAGGCCGGACAGATGGACCCGCTGGGGGGGGCGGCCTCCACAGATGTCCCGGGGAAGTGCTCAGGGTGGAGGATTCCTTAAGGGCCGGCCTGCTCCTGGGCGTCCACGGTCTCCTGTCGTGGCACCGACGGGATGGTGTGGGGAGGGGATAGAGACCCCAGAACTTTGCCAAGGGACGCAATCCCAGGTCTAGGTAGGGGTACGGTGCGGAGTAGGCACCTGCTTCCACTGCTGTGCCTGGTAGTGGGGTGAACAGCTCTGCGAGGTTCCTGTCCCTGCTAACTGCATTTGCCAGGAGGGAGAAACTGAGGCACAAGCGTTAGGTGGCAGCAAGCCCAGCCGCAGTGCTTGGCTTCGTCCCCCTCCCACACATTAGGGGTTGGCGGAGGTGGCTTGCGGGGGGGCAGGATTAGGGGGTCCTCGCTGTGCCACACAGCTGCAGGGGATGGGGCTCTGCGGTCGCGGCGTGTCCCGCTGGGTCCACGTGCTCGAGCCCCGAAAACCCTGCGTGGAGTTCCCACCCTTCTTAAGGTCTCGGCGGACAGAAGTCAGAGCCTCCGGGTCAGGGTCAGTCTCAGAGTGGAAGCCACGCCCGAGACCTCTTTCCCCAACCCTAGTCAGACACCCCTCACGCTGTCCCTCCTGCTCCCGCCCTCCCCCAGCCCCGCCCAGCTCCCAGCCTCGGGATTGCTCTCTGGGACCCTGGTCACACCCCTGGACCCTGTGTGTCCCGCCTCCCTGCTGCTCCAAGCCCGCCCTGAGCTGAACTCCGCCCTGCGGCTGCGGCCCAATTCTGGGTTCGGGGACAAAGGATGCCCCGGGGCCTACGGCACTACCCACCCCAGGACCCCAGCACCAAGGACTCCGACTTCCCCCGGCCGAGGGCTCCCTCCGAGGGAGTCCCCAAGGCCCCAGAGGCCAGTAAGAAAGTGGGTTCAGTCTGGGCCGCCGTCTGATTGGCTCCAGGCTTCGGGAACGGGGGACCCGGGGCAAGGGGAGGGGAGAGGGGCGGTGCTGGGGCTCCGGGGTGGGAACGGGATTCCAGCTGCGGTTCTCTCCGCGGGCGCCCCCGCCCGCACTGCCACGGAGGCCGGCCAATGGGCGCGCGGCTCGGGGCCGCCGCCTCGCGGCGATTGGCTGCAGGGCTGGTTGGGGAGGCGGGGCCGAGGCTTGAAGTTGGAGTGAGGGATCCAGCTGTGGTGTGCGCCGGGCTCCTCGCCGCCGCTTTCGCTCGCTCGCTCCGCGTCTCGGCCGGAGGAGGCGGCAGTGGCGCCGGCGACAGCCCCGGCAGCGGCAGCCACCGCGGCGGCCGCGGCATCTCCGCCTCCAACCCCACGCCCCGGGACGGCCCCCCACCGCCTCCCCGCCCCTGCCGGCCCGGGAGCCCGCCGCGGGGCGGAGGAAGGAGCCGCCCCCCGCCCCCTCCATACCCACCCCCCAAAGAGAGCCCTCTTCCCCTCCCCCCCGCCGCCACTGGCGCTGAGCCCGGGCGATGCTGACCCCTTAGATCCCGCTCCAGCTGCTCGGCGGGGAAGAGGGGGCACCCCTCCTCAGACCCGCACCCCTGCCCTCCACGGGGTGCCCCCTTTCTCTCTCCTGGTGTCGAGGCTGCTTCGTCGAAGGTAGTCCTGAACCGGAGGCTGGGCGCGAAGCGAAGAAGCCGGAACAAAGTGAGGGGGGAGCCTGCCGGCTGGCCCAGGGGATCGCCCCGGGGGCCCGGGGAAAGCGGGACTCGCGCCCGAAGGGGCTTCTCTGCCACCCGGGGCCCCGCGGGCAGCATGCCCCTGCGGGCAGGGGGAGCTGGGCTGAACTGGCCTTCCCGGGGGCTCAGCTCGCGCCCTAGAGCCCCCCAGATGCGCCCCCGCCTGGGCCCCCCGGTGGCGTGAGGGCACCTCCTCTGAGGGGCGCCGCTCGCCCCTCTCCGGGCCGCCCCGGGGGCTCCCCCCCACCCCCGGCTGGCCGGAGGATGGACGAGGAGGAGGATGGAGCGGGCGCTGAGGAGTCGGGACGGTCCCAGAGCTTCACGCGGCGCAACGACCTGTCGGGGGCCGGGGGCCAGCCGGGGTCGGCGGAAAAGGACCCGGGCAGCGCGGACTCCGAGGCGGAGGGGCTGCCGTACCCGGCGCTGGCCCCCGTGGTTTTCTTCTACTTGAACCAGGACAGCCGCCCGCGGAGCTGGTGTCTCCGCACGGTCTGTAACCCATATCCTTCGGGGGCACGGCGGCGGGGCGATGGGGTCCGCAAGGGGGCGGGCCGCGCGCCGGAGGGGACCTGAGGCCGGGTGAGTCGGAGAAGTAAGCGTGCTCTGGAGGGGAGGGGGCGGCGAGGTGGGGGTGCAGGCGAGCCGGTCGGGTGGGCGCCCGGGGCGAGCCCCGGCTCGGTGCACACACCTCGGTCCTCCTAGGAGGGGGAGCTGGGATCCGAGCCAGCTGGAGAGGGAGACGTGCCCCGCGGGCGTGCGGCTGGGCGCCCTCCAGATGCGGACAGAGGAGGGTCGTCCCCCTCCAGATGTGAGCAGCTCCAGAAGCTGGGCAGCTCCACTCCACCCGTCGCCGCCGCCGGTTCGGTCGCAGGGTTTGGTTTCCGAGTTTGGGTGAGGTGGGGGTGGGGTGGGGAGGAAGCTGCGGGGAAGGAGGGGGTACCGCAATCTCCAGGGTTTCCCTCTTGCCCCCGCCCCAAAGTTTGCGGCGGATCCTGGAGTACGATCCTTCCCTGCCCCCCTTCTCACCCACACACCTTAGTTTTACTGACCCAGAGGGATTTGTTGGGGAGGGGGGGGGCGGGACCAGGACCTATCCCCCCACCCCTCCCTCGCCCCGCGGGTTGGAGGCACAACAAGGAGATTCCGGCGGCGGCTGATGTCAGGGGCGCAGAATGAGAACAAGATGTGGTGGCTGAGGAGCTGTCTGCCCCCGGAGCTGGAGCTGAGCCCCTTTCAGCAGGAGCCCAGCGCCGGGGGTTCCTCCCTTCCACCACCATGCCTGACTCTGTGCGGGGTGCTAGAATGTTGGGCTGAAGAGTTTGGATGTGTGTGTGTGTGTGTTTATTTATTTATTTTTTTTTAGAGCTTTGTCAAGTGGGGGATGGGTGCCAGCAGGTCTTAGTAACCCCTCCCATTGCGCACACATAGAGGGCCCTGGCTGGCGACCAAAGCCCTGAGAAAGTATTGGGGACCCTGGGAGGAAGACTGTCCCACGATCCCAGTGTCTCTTCCATGGAAGGGTTAGGCCCCCAGGGAGAAGGGTTTGGCGCTGCCTTTTACCCTCTGCCTAGTGTGGAGTGGTGGTGGTGGGAGGGGTAACCCCAGCCCTCTCAACCTATAGCATGGGGACTGCCTGAGTGTTGGCCAGCCCGCCGGGAGGAAGGGCCAGGTGACCAGAGGGATGTCCCTGGCCTTGCCATCCAGGTCATGACAGCTTCCAGGTCAGAGTGTCTTTGGGCCTCAGGGTGGGAGACTCTAGTCCCCCTGAAAGCCTCTGAGAGCCCAGCTGGGACTCTGCCTTGGGGGGGGGGGCTGCAGGAATCTTGGTGCCCGCCCTCATTCTGCAGCTCTGCTGCCTCTAGTGCGCAAAGCAGTCATGTGAGCCTGGGTCCCCCCATCCCCACCCTACACACCATGGGTCTTTGGGAAGCTCCCCGCTTCACACCTTGTTGCCATCCCCTGATCCCTGCCCCATCCTCCCTTCAGCTGGAGAGAGAGAGAGAGAGAGAGAGAGAGAGAGAGAGAGACACCCCTGGCATTGCTGAGTAGGTCTTCCACATATCCTAGGCCCCTTGCTCCCTGGCAGAGATGGAGGTGAGGAAGGAAGGAGGCTGAACAGGATGCACCCTGGGCATCCCTCTTCTCTATCACGAATCATCCACTCCTTCCATGATAGGGGAAAGCACCTGCCCTCCTTCTCAGGGGCTCCCAGGGGAGGTGGAGGCCTCTGTCTCTTCCACCTGCGTGTTTCCAGGTGCTTGTGAAGGTCTACAGTCAGACTGCCCCCTTCAGGAGTTCTGGAAGCGGGGTAGTGGCCAGGGTTGGAACCAGAGAAAGGCAGGCGCCTGGAGCTCACCTTGAGGGGCAGTGATGGAGCAGGGAGTGGGGATCTGGCGGGTGAGGACAGGCACCTAGTCTGGGGTGACCAAGTTGAAAAGAATTTCTTGACAAGGAGTTGGCCTAAGCTGTGTCCCTCTCCTACCCAGGAACCAAGGGAAGGTCCAGTTCACAGCACAGGGGTTCCAGACAACCTCCTAGGTCCTCTTCTTTCTCTTTTTGGTCTGTGAAACCTCCTTTGGCCCCACTGGGGGTGGGGGGTGGGGAGTGCCTGGGGGACATAAGGACACTCCCCACTTCCACCTGCCAACCGAAGCTGCTGAGACTTTTCTTGGCACTGTCTTCCTCTCTGCCCCTTCCTCTTGCAGTCTGCTTAGGAGATCAGGTTTCCTAGAGAGGAGATGAGGACCCAGATAGGTAGTGAAAGGTGTGTTATGTGTGTGCGTTGGAGAAGATGGGAAAAAGCCTGCAGTAAGTGTCTGGCCCTGGGGAGAGCAGGGGTGCTGGCCATGAGCATCTCAGGGCCAGAAAGCTGCACCCCGCACTCCCCCCCACTCCAGGTTAGCGGGAAGTGAGCCGGCCTCCCCAGTGATGTTTCTCCAAGTGCCAGTGAGTGTGGCCGCTCCCGGAGGAAGGAGATCCTGAGCATTCCCTCTGGGCGGCGGTTGTGTCACATCTGGAAGTTTGTGTAGGAGTTTCTCCAAGCCCAGAGCCCAGCGCAGCTTTTTCTCATTTGGAAATAGGCTGGCATTTGGGATGCTGAGAGAGAGAGGAGAAAGAGTGAGAGAGAACCGGGGCCAGAGGGAACAGGGGAGCCTGCCAGGGCCGAGAAGGGGGGAGCGGGCAGCAGGCAGGGTGGAGAAGGGGGAGGCCTGAGCGGTAGAAGCCCTAATGGCTTCCAGAAGTGAGTGTGAATGTGTGCCCATGCGTCACTGTGTGTGTCTGAGCGTGCGCCACTCCAGGAGAAGGGGCACCAGCAATTTCTGGAGCCTTCTTTGCCACTGTCCCAGGGTCCCCAAGTCTTCCTGTTTTCCCTTTCCTGGCAAGAATTCTCCATTCCTGCCTTCAGAAGAAAGAGGAGGGGAAGGACTGTTGTCTTCCGTTAGTTCTCTTCTGTTTCTAAAGCCTAGGCCCCCCAGAGGGCAATCTAGGAAGAAGGGCTGGGGATGGGGGCTTGAAAGGAACTGCTCAAGGATGGGCAGGGTACCTCTTGGCACCCTCTCTGTCTTGGCATCCCCTTTCTTCCGGGTCATACACTCCCTAGCCGCCCCTGTACTACTGGGGGACTTCCCTGCTCCACACTAGTGCCAATTGGAGCCATTCCTGGGACTGCCCTGACTTCACGGTCCTCCCCAGCCCCCCCAGGCCACTCCCATCCCGGCTCTCACCCTGCCCTGGCCGAGGCAGGCAGGGCGGCGACAGACACAACTGCTCACACACACAGACATGCGCGTACACACACACTCACACAGAGTCACAGACGTTTGAATCAGATTTCTGGCCTATTTCCTCTCCCTAGGATTCCAGCAGGCCGGCACTCCATGCGTCTGTCTCAGGTCTCTGGCTTGGGTGGGGCCGACTGCCTTTTTTGCCGGCTTCAGTTTCCAGCTCAGCTGGCAACCTCTCTCCTCACTCCTCCACACTGGAGCTGGCAGGGCTGGGGGTAGTCTGGCAAGCAAGCTTCCAGGAGTGGGGCTTGCCTGGGGGAATCCCCCTCTCATCTCCCTCCTTGCCCCCAGGGGATGGTCAAATCCCTGGGCATCTGCTTATTTATGAGGATGTGTGTGGCAAGGGCTTGCCCCCAGCTCACCTCCTTGGCTCTAACCAGAAGGCCAGGACTCCTGGGGCCAGCCCCGCCTCCTTCCCAACACTTCTCTGTCTCACATTTCCAGAGTCCTAGGAGGGAATGAAGCAGCTGGGGGCCTATTTCCCATCATGCCCAGAACAAACCCCTACGCTCCTTGCCCCCAAGCCCTGTACCCCAGGAGGTGCCCCAGCCAGCTTCCTGCTCTTCCCACATCCCTCACCCTTCCAGCTGCCAGGTTGGGCAAGGGCTCCATGGAGATAAGGCCCCAAGAGAGAACCCATTTGTGGAGATAACAGCTAGCTCTTTCTCCCAGGAGGAGGCCCGGGAGGGGGAGGGAGAGGGGGACTCATCTTCCTGCCATTTCCTTTTTCTCTCCTGATGGTGGGTTGTAGGGAGAGGAAAGATCCTCCCCTCTCCTGCCCCCATCCTTTGGGATCCACTCCAGCCTGGACAGTCACCATAGCAACAGTAGACATGTGACTGCACAGGTCTCTCATTGTCACTATGGCAACCACTGTCCCCCGTTCCCTTGGTTACCATGGAGATCTGTCACATGGTTTCTCCCCAACCTGATAACCTGTGGGTCTCCCTGCTTCCGCTTCCCTGTACTGAGGATAAGGCAGCAGCCTGAGCAAGGAGGATCATGTGTGTGTGTGTGTGTGTGTGTGTGTGTGTGTGTGGTGGGGGTAGCGTTGGGTCTTTTTAAGTACCATGGCAACATATCCACACCACCTGGTGACACATCCTCCTGTTGTCATGGCAACAGAAGAACATCACACAGTGACATACTGCCTTGTTTCCAAGGAAACGAGTCCTACCGGGAGAAGGGTGAAAGGATCCCCTCCACCATTCAGTCTTCCTCTATTCAGGTTGTCCTCATTTTTTTGGTGCCTTGGTCTGGTCCCTGTGTATTTGTGCTTACCTTTAGTGGAAGGGGAGAGGTGGAAAGCAGGGTCACTGTACATTAGACAAAACTGATTGTCGAGCTCTTGACAAGGGGCTCTGGTGATTGAGATCTGGGCATGGGATGGTTTGGCATGGTAAACAGGTAAAGGGAGAGGACGGAAGAGGGACCAGCTTTTCTCTCTGGGGTCACTCCACTCAGGCATGGGGTGGTTTGATCCGGTAAGAATAGATGTAAGGAGAGGAGGGAAGAGGGACTAGCTTTGCTCTGGGGTCACCCCATCACACCCCAGCAGGTACAGTAAGTTCATCAATGTGGAAGGAAACATGAATGAATTGCGTGTGGACAGGGAGACCGATGATTGATCCCTTCATTCATTCTTACTATGTATTGATCATCGGCAAGCTGCCAGGCACTCCTTGGCACTCTGTGGGGGGCACAAAGCTGTACGCGTGGGCCCTGCTTGCCAGGAACACACAGCTTGGCCAGGGAGATTGGACAAGCACATGTGACTGCGCTGTGGTGGAGTCACTGCTGGGAGAAGGGTCCAAGCAGCTGTCGCAGGAGTCCAACTTTATAGGACTACCCACCTAGACAGGTTTGCTCTCATGGGTCTTTTGCACAGCCCCTCTCCCTGCAGGGTGAGGGAAGAGGGTGCCTGTGTGTCCTCCCCTCTCTCCTGGGTGATCTCTGGCTGACCCTCTTGTGGGCTGGGCTGGGCTGGGGCTGCACTCAAGAAAACAACTCCATGGCAACTGTACCGCTCTCCTCACTGTCAGCCTCCAGGCCCAGGGCTTGCCCTTGTCTTCTCCTATGGGGGTGGGGGAGGTGACTGGTAGAGGTGGCTTTGGGACTGTGGGGGTTCCAGGGCAGGTGGTAGGTAGGGATGGGACATAGAAGGCAGTGGTCCTGGGGCATAGTAGGTTTGTGGGGATGGGGCTTTGGCAGGGACTCAGGGCAGAGTTGGGGCTGGCTTGGACCAGCCAGGAAGGGAGTGTCTTCCTGCTGGTTTTATCACACCTTCTTGCAAGTAGGTAATGATGGGGAATATTCCATCTCTTGGCCCCACCCCAGAGTGTTACCTGGTGGATCATGCCAGTGGGGTGGGGGGTCTACCATGGCTCCTCCTACCTCTACTCTCCTGGCTGGTTCCCTCATCCCTGACCCCTGCTCCCTACTGGTTTCTGGCCTCTTTGCTCTTAGACCTAACCCTATCATGTTTTCCATGAGGAAGACGGGAATGCTTGGTCATTTATTCATGACTCTAGTGCCTGGAACATTCTAAGATCCAAAGGCCATGCTGTGTATTCTGCTGCCAATGGGCCAGAGTAAGTCCTTCAGAAGCTGCCGGCAGAAGCTTTGAGGTTTGGGAAGAACACTCTTCCCTTTTGCTGTTTTGGTCTGTGTAGGCTGGAGGCCATAAGAAGGTGTGACAGCATCATGGCCTGTGTGCATGGGGTGTGTCCATTCTGTACAGCTTGGGGCTTCTGCCCAGCATGGGGACTGGTATGTCATGGGTTCTCAATATTTAGGCAAATAGTTGCATATGAAGGCTTTGAGTGGGGATGGTCAGGAGGCTGACAAGAGAGAAAGCCTCATGCTCCGTGTGGTGGCACAGGGCACCACAGCTGTGCACGTGCTTGTCTGTGTCTGTCTGGCCCTAGCGTGGTCCTGACAGCCCACTTGCTGCCTGCCAGGGGTGCAGAAGCAGGCGTTGTGGATCAAGAGCTTAGAAAACTCCTGGCTTTGCAAGTGACCTTCGGCACACGACCGGGGCTCAGTGGACCTCCGTGTCCTTGGTTGGGTTCTAGGAAATCAGCTGAGCTACGGCGGCATTGTGTGAAGGCGCTTGGGAAACTGTAAGGAAAGCAGGATCCGACTGTGGGTTTGTGTAACACATTCCCATACATCATCTCATTTGCTTCTCACATCCATCCTGCGAGGCGCAGAGAGAAGATTCAGATTCAGCCCCAAACCCTTGGCGTCTGGCATTTCCACCAGTATCATCGATTTTATTCCGTACATGGCTTGTGCAAATAGTCAGGGTATTTGTGGCTTTTCCTGCTTGGTAGATGAGGAAGTGGGATCCAGAGAGGTGGTAGGATAGGCCTGGCAAGGGGGGCTGGGCCCTCCCATCATGTCTGGCTTGTGGGAAGTCAGCAAACATTGGGTGTCGGAGTAGGACTCTAGTTGTGGCCCCAAACAGCCCTTTCCTTGACCCAGCCTTACCTGGTTTGAGCGTATCAGTATGCTGGTCATCCTTCTCAATTGTGTGACCCTCGGCATGTTCCGACCTTGTGAGGATATTGCCTGCGACTCTCAGCGCTGCCGAATCCTGCAGGTGGGTGTGTATTCAGGGCCTTGACCCTGCTGGTGGGTGGGAGGAGCTGGAGTGGAGGGACAGGGATGCTCCCCTCCCTGGTTTCAGCAGCTTCTTGTCACCATGCCAGGCCTTTGATGACTTCATCTTTGCCTTCTTCGCGGTGGAAATGGTGGTGAAGATGGTGGCGCTGGGAATCTTTGGGAAAAAGTGTTACCTGGGAGATACTTGGAATCGGTTGGACTTCTTCATCGTCATCGCAGGGTGAGAGCCTGGTCTGGGTGTGGAAGGGAGTGCAGAATGCACCGTATCAGCTCCTTCCCAGGACTACTGTTCCAAGACCTGGCTCTGCCTGCTCCCTGGCTGGCTGGTGAAGCTGTCCTGCTCTGAATCCCTGATCTCTGCTTCTGGCTTTCTTTCCTTGAGGGAAGTTGTGCTTGTCTGGGTCGGGGCATGTGGGGAGAGGGGATGACCTGGCCTCAAACAGAGCCAGATCTTCAGTACTGGCAGAGTACAGAGATGAGCCCCAGGTTGTTGACCTCTCACCCTGCTGTGGCCTCAGACTCACAGGTCTTCCCCTGGGCTCCTCCTTGCAGGATGCTGGAGTACTCACTGGACCTGCAGAATGTCAGCTTGTCAGCGGTCAGGACAGTTCGCGTGCTGCGACCGCTCCGGGCCATTAACCGGGTGCCCAGTGAGTGACCCCCTTGATCCCCAGCCCCTGGACAAAGACCTACCCCTCCCCTAAAGAGGAGATGGGGACAGGGCCCACCCCCTCCCACCACATCCTCACCTGCCCACTCACAGACTCTGGCAGAGAAGGGCTCCCTGCTCATCTGTGCACCCCCTCCTTGCTTTGGTCTGGCCTTGGATCAGAATCCATAGGGATATCACAGTGGCTTTTGCCTTTTACCTGTCAACCTCTCTCCCAGGGGAGCAGGGGCAGCTGAGGATGGGATGAGAGGCGAGAGGGGTGGTGCAGCGGCCCTTCCTTCCCAGCCCCACCAGCTTTCTGGCCATGCTGAACACGACTTCAGCCATTCCATGCCTTGGCCTCCCAGCTGCATCCCCTTCCTCCCTGCCAGCCCCTCCCCAGCCACTGCAGTCACCGCCAGGACCATTATCTAAATTAAACCGCAGTGGTTTCTGGAGCCAGCAAAGCTCTGGCAGCCCCAACTCCCGCACCCGCTCCTGTGCCCGCCCTTGCTCAGGCCCCCTTGATAACTCCCCAACCCACACATGCTGCAGGTTGGTCCCCACATTGTCCCTGGGAGTGAGGTGTCTGACTGCGTACCTGATGTAATTGCAGTCCCCTTTGCTGTATGTTTGTGTGTGTGTGACAGACACAGCTGGCTGTGGGAGAGCAAGGTTCTTCCTCCTCCTCCTCTTCCCTATGGGCTGGATGTTTTGGTGTTTAACAGGAGCTTCAGAGGAGGGGCAGGGCTTCTCCCATCCCAGGTGATGGCTGGCAGATTTATAGGCCTCTGTCTAACCACCGGTATAATTCCCTTAATGCACACCCTGAGGAATTGATCTTGGTTGGAGCGCAGAGGAGTGAAGGGGGAGGTGATGGGGGAGGGTGGGAGGGGAAGAGGGGAGAGGACTGGGTGAGAAGGCTGGGCGGGCAGGGGCGGGGCCAGGGCAGCTGCCGCCACCCAGAGGGTTAATTAGTTGCTGCCACCTAGAAGCTTTTGCTCTGGAAAAGGCATGGGGCCAAGGTGCTGTGGGGATCCTGGGGATGGAGACCAACCAGCAGAGAGACCTGTCTGCTTGGCAGGGCCTGCTAGTCTAGGGGCTGGGCAGCTGCTAGACTGGGAGGAAGAGAGGGATTCCTCACGAGGAGTTTGAGGGGGTTTGCAGTTGCTTTCCCCACCAAGGGGGTGGAGTGGTTCATAGATGAGTTCCTAAGCAGACAGTGTTGCATTTCTTCCAGTCCTGCTGGACCAGGAAGGGCTGGGGGACTCAGGAACCATTGTTCAGGACAAGGTTCCTTGGCCCCTGCTAGGGAGCTGCCTGTCCAAGGGGTGGGGTTTTTGCCTGCTAATGTTCCCTCAGTGGTTTGGTACCTTGCTTTCCCCAGTGATCCCAGTGATGGTAACTGAGAAGGGCCCATAGGAGTGAAGGAAGCTGGAGTGTGGGAGTGTGTATGTGTGTGAGTGTGGGTGGGTTAGTGTGAACGTGTTGGAGGGCTGTGTTCAGAAGAACCAAGCCTGAATCTGAGTCCTGATATGCATACCGACCAGCTCTGGGACCCGGGCTGCGGGGTGTCATTTGTGTGGGTCCCAGACTTCTCTTCTAGGAAGTGGAGGTGATATCTTGCATATGTGGTAGGGCTTGGTGCATGGAAACTTTTTGGAAATTACAGTCATTTGGTTGGGTAATAATGGTGCCCTGCACCAGTTTATGTGGAAGAGGGATCATGGAGAGGGGCTTCTGGGGAGCTTGAGCCAGACAGTCTCAGCCCCCAAGTCCCTGTTGACCCCCTCTAGGAGTGCTGCCAGGCCTGCCAGTGGCAGTCAGCCCAGTCTAGCCTGACTAGCCTGGCCTGGTGCCCCAGCTCTCCAGCTCCCCAGCGTGGCTTCCATCCCTTACAGGCATGCGCATCCTGGTCACCCTGCTGCTGGACACGCTGCCCATGCTGGGCAACGTCCTGCTGCTCTGCTTCTTCGTCTTCTTCATCTTTGGCATCGTGGGTGTGCAGCTGTGGGCAGGGCTGCTTCGGAACCGATGCTTCCTGCCCGAGAACTTCAGCCTGTGAGTGGCTGACGGGGTGGGACATTGGCCTGGGCTCACCTGCCTTGCTCACTCTGTGGACTGGCTCTCCCTGCCTCTGGGCCTCATCTGTATCCTGCCCTTATGTCGCAGCCCCCTGAGTGTGGACCTGGAGCGCTATTATCAAACAGAGAATGAGGACGAGAGCCCCTTCATCTGCTCGCAGCCGCGCGAGAACGGCATGCGCTCCTGCCGCAGTGTGCCCACCTTGCGTGGTGATGGTGGTGGTGGCCCACCCTGTGGCCTGGACTACGAGGCCTACAACAGCTCCAGCAACACCACCTGTGTCAACTGGAACCAGTATTACACCAACTGCTCTGCAGGGGAGCACAATCCCTTCAAGGGGGCCATCAACTTCGACAACATTGGTTATGCCTGGATTGCCATCTTCCAGGTGGGGCAGTCTGGGCAGGGAGTGGTGGTCTTCAGGGTTGGGACAGGGGTGGAGGATCCTGCAGGAAGCATCTTCATCGGGAGTTAGTCTGGCCCCTGCCGCCTTCCCAGGTCATCACACTGGAGGGCTGGGTGGACATCATGTACTTCGTCATGGATGCCCACTCCTTCTACAACTTCATCTACTTCATCCTCCTCATCATCGTGAGTGACCCCTCCGGGCTCCAGGGAAATGAGGGGTGGAGGCGGGGTCCTGGAACACAGGTTGGGGAAGGATTACTCAAGCTAAAGCTGTCAACTTGTAGGACGAGTCTTAGCGAGGGGGCATGCACCTGTAGTGGACAGGGCACCAATTGAAGAGCAGGAGGAGGTCTGAGGTCCTTGGGCCAGCATTTGCACCCAAGCCTCTGCCCTATATCATTGCAGTGGGTATTACTTAACCCAGGTGCCACTGTGTCTCACAGGGGGCATCTAAAAATGGCAAAGGGTGGTTCTGTTTTTATACCAGAAAGGGGGACAATAGCCACTGGCTTTTTTGGGGGGAGAAAAAGGGTGTTGGAAATGTTTGCAAACAAAATTGTTCCACCCCACATTCTAACTAACATAGGGAAACGCTGTGTGAGCTCTTGGCCTTTCCAGCTCAGAAATTCTGAGATGGTGAAGGCAGAAGACACATGTAGAAGCAGCCATATTTAGTGTTAATCATTGCCATTTATAGTTAATAACTTATTTTTACAAATTTTCCTTCTGTTTCAAAGGCAGAGAGACATAGACAGAGATATTCTATCCTCTTGTTCACTCCCCAAATGCCCACAACAGCTAAGGCCAGGCCAGGTCAAAACCAGGAGTCCAGAATTCCAGCTGAGTTTATTATGTGGGGTGGCAAGAGCCACCATCTGGGCCATCACCTGCTGCTTCCCAGGCACATTAACAGGAGGCTGGATCAGAAGGGAAGGAGCTGGGACTGGAACTTGCACTCTGACAGGGGATGTGGTGTCCTGAGCAGTAGCAGTTTAGCTTGCTGTGCTCAGCTAACATCTAGTGAGCACTTGGAGTGTGTCAGCGCATCTAATCCTCTCTGTAGTCCTATGGCTGTGTCTCTTTTACAGAGGAGGCAATTAGCATTTCCATGTGCTTTGCCTAAGCTGTGGATTAAACTTGCCGGGTGGTGGTGGCCTGTGGCTGTGTGCTGTGACATCCACGGCCTGCTTTATCCCCAGTGTCCCCTGCAAGGTGACTCGTACAGGAATTATGCCCTCCCTGCCTTTTGGGAGTGAACTTGAAGTCCCAGAGGGTGGTCACTGGGCCAAGATGAGAGAATAAGTGGCTGCAACTACGCATTTCATCCCAGGCTACCAACTCCGAGTGCAACCCTCTTCCTCTGTCACTGAGAGGCTGATGACAGAGCCAGACAGAGGGGATAGATATGGAGAAGAGCTTTAGATTGACTAGGGACCTAGTTTAAGTGCCAGAGAGAGGTGGGGAACACAATGAGACAGTAGCTGGTGAGAGAGACCTATGGTGGGCCCTGGGAAAGATCAATGCCCCTTGGGCCTACTTCAGTCATTTTCCCTGATGTGGAAGAATGCCCAGGCTTGAGGCAAAGCCTGGCTGGAGGAGGCCTGTCCCCTCACTGGCCCCCGCCTGGGGTGAGGTGCGAGGCCAGTGCTGCACTGGCTTGCTCACTGTGCTACTCTTCCAGGCCTAGGGGAGGGGAGCGGAAGCAGACAGGGAGGTAAGGGGCTCAGCTTCCACCCTCCCACACACCCCCGGAAAAATCTTCCCAAACAGCTCTCTGGAATCACACTAGTGAAGCTAATTATCATAATTACTAGGACACGATCTAGAAAAAAAAAATCTGCTTTGTCACCATAAATATTCATTCCCTTCATTTTGGGATTTTGCCCAAGCAACGATTTGCCATGAATCTTGGGGAAACTGAGGCATGGAGGTCCAGGGGAGGGTGTCAAGTCAGAGCAACAGCTTGGCTGGCCTGTGGGGTCTGGGCTTGGCTTGAGAACAGACAGTAGCCCAGGGTCTCCATCTTTAGATGAGGCGACATAGGTTGGGCTGTTGCCCAGGTCACACAGCTAGAGCCAGGAACGGAAGCAGGAGCCTGGAGAAGCACGTCTGGGCCAAGCTTGCAGACTCCACGTCTGCCCGGTTGCACTCCTGTCCATGGCCTTCACTGCCCATTGGAGAGAGAAGCTCGGGGGCTCCCTGGATAGGTCCCCTCTGAGCAGGGAGCTTGGGAGGTGACCTTGCAGGATGATGTAATGGCCCATAAGGACTCCTAGGGATTTTATCGAAGTTGTCCAGGCCTCAGCCTTGCACTGCCTTAGCTATGTCATTTGGGGCACTTTCCTTGACCTCTTTCGGAACCCCAGGTTCTTGGCCTCTCAGGTGGAGATTATGATAGCGTCACCTCCTGGCTGTCAGGAGAATCAGATGAGATGACGTCGGGAAAATTACCAAGCCCAGTGCTTGGCACGCACGTTTCCTGTATGCGGCAGCTGGCATTGATTCAATTTCTTCAGGACATCTCCTCTTCCTGTCCCCACCCCTACAGGTGGGCTCCTTCTTCATGATCAACCTGTGCCTGGTGGTGATTGCCACACAGTTCTCAGAGACCAAGCAGCGAGAAAGCCAGCTGATGCGGGAGCAGCGTGTACGCTTCCTCTCCAACGCCAGCACCCTGGCTAGCTTCTCTGAGCCAGGCAGCTGCTATGAGGAGCTGCTTAAGTACCTGGTCTACATCCTTAGGAAGGCAGCCCGTAGGCTGGCCCAGGTGTCTCGGGCAGTGGGTGTACGGGCCGGGCTGCTGAGCAGCCCAGCACCCCTCGGGAGCCAGGAGCCCCAGGCTGGCAACAGCTCTTCTCACTCCCGCCGACGCCTGTCTGTCCACCACCTGGTGCACCACCACCACCACCATCACCACCACTATCACCTGGGTAACGGGACACTCAGGGCACCCCGAGCCAGTCCAGAGATCCAGGACAGGGATGCCAATGGGTCCCGCCGGCTCATGCTGCCACCACCCTCAACACCCACCCTCTCCAGGGGCCCTCCGGGGGGTGCCGAGTCTGTGCACAGCTTCTACCATGCTGACTGCCACTTGGAACCAGTCTGCTGCCAGGCACCCCCTCCCAGGTCCCCTTCAGAGGCATCAGGCAGGACTGTGGGCAGTGGGAAGGTGTATCCCACCGTGCATACCAGCCCTCCACCAGAGATGCTGAAGGAAAAGGCGTTAGTGGAGGTGGCCCCCAGATCTGGGCCCCCCACCCTCACCAGCTTCAACATCCCTCCCGGGCCCTACAGCTCCATGCACAAGCTGCTGGAGACACAGAGCACAGGTGAGAACTCGGGGTTGGGGCCGGGTGGGTGTTCTGGAAGGCAATGAGGGTGTACAGTCGGAGTGGCCAGGGCTCAGGCTATCATCCTGCCTCTTGGGGCCTTGGCACTTTCAATCACATCACTTCTTTAATCTCTGATTTCCCATCTGTTCCAATGGGGACCTCAGTTCCTGCACTGGAATCATCATAGCTGTCATGCACTGAGCACCTGCTGCATGCTCGGCCGCTGGTGTTTGCAGTAAGAGCTCTTTATTGTCCGTAGCCATGCGGCCTTGGGCTTTGCAGGCAGAATCCTTCTGCGTCCCCTGGACGGCATGGGTGATCAGCTGCCAAGACCCCTCTCATAGGGATGGGGGCAGGAGCCTTGGAGATGTAGCACAGCTTGCTCAAGGTTATCCTGTTGGTAAGGAGCGGACTCAGGGCTGGACTCTGGGGCTGGCTCTGTATCCCTGGGTTGTGGGGACATGGCTAACAGAAGAAATGGCATGCGGCTGAGCCCAGCATCGTGACCCCCCCACACCAATGGGACTCTCATAAACCCATGTCTCATTCCCTCTGGGCAGAGACCTGGAGCTCAGAACAGCAAGTCTTTGAGGTGCTAGGCCAATGGCTGCAAAATCTCGGGTTGTAGGGGAATGTCAGTGAGATACATAGGGTGATCTCTTAGGTAGAAGTGACCAGTGCCGCTCGGCAGACAGGTTCCCTGACCTGTTCTTTCAGGAAGAATTGGCATGTGTGAAACAGTGGGATACTCTTGGGGATATTCCGTGGGCTGGAAAAGGTGCTGTCCTAAGGTGGAGAGGGAAGGATTCGTACACAGCTCCTCGATCACCTTGCTAAAGGACGTCATGAGCATACCCGCTGCCCTAGCCTCGTGTGCAAAAGGCAGAACTGGGCTCATCTCTGGGGTCTGTGGATGCTCAAAACTGCCCCTTCCTGGGCCAGCAGGGGAATGGCATGTGTGACTGCTGTTAGCTGGGTCTTAAGCCCGGTATCTCCACTTGTCAGCCTTAGCTGAGGTTCCTTTCAGCTCTGGGATTCAGGGTCAGAGCCAGAGTTAAGTGGGCGCTGACATCTTGGGATAGGTGGTGTGTTGTGTGGGTACATGCTTATCACACACACACACACGGATGTGCTGTTTTCCTGCGATATATGTACATGGGTGTTGTGTGGAGTTAATTGTGTGTGTATGTATTGTGGAGTACCAATAGTGTATATGGGTATATATATATATGTGTATGTGTGTGTGCGCGCGCGCCCATGTGGGCAGATGTGTCTTACGGATTTCTTGGGAACTGCTACTCCAAGCATCTTTGAAGAAAACCTGGCTTCCCTGGGCCACACAGATGGCTTGGACTCCTAGGACGTAGGAGCTGTCCAGGACCTCAGGGGATAGACATCAAGGCTGCCTGTCTACCTGAACCCAGGGGACACTTGGCATGTACCATCTGTGGGCTGCTGATGACATCTGGGCTTTTTTTTTTTTTCTTTTTTTTTTTTTTTTTTAAAGATTTATTTTTATTATTTTTTCATTGGAAAGGCGGATATACAGAGAGAGGAGAGACAGAGAGGAAGATCTTCCATCCGATGATTCACTCCCCAAGTGAGCGCAACGGGCCGATACTATGCCGATCCGAAGCCAGGAGCCTCTTCTGGGTCTCCCACGCGGGTGCAGGTTCCCAAAGCTTTTGGGCCGTCCTCGACTGCCTTCCCAGGCCACAGGCAGGGAGCTGGAAGGGAAGCGGGGCTGCCGGGATTAGAACCGGCGCCCATATGGGATCCCGGGCGTGCTAGGCGAGGACCTTTAACCACTTGCGCCACCGCGCCGGGCCCGACATCTGGGCTTTTTGTTAGCCAGGACTCTCCACCCCACAGGACATTCAACATCCCCACCCACAGGGTGCCTGGCACTCCCTACCCATTGTAACAACTCAGCATGCTCGCCCTCACTGTGGGCATCCTTGGAGGCCAGGGTAACCCAGGAGGGTTCTAAGCTGTCCTCTCCTATCCTAGGCACCTGCCAGAGCTCTTGCAAGCTCTCCAGTCCTTGCTTGAAGGCTGACCGTGGAGCCTGTGGTCCCGACAGCTGCCCCTACTGTGCACGGGCAGGCTCAGGGGAGGTGGAACTTGCTGAGCATGAGATGCCTGACTCGGACAGCGAGGCGGTGTATGAGTTCACACAGGATGCCCAGCACAGTGACCTCCGAGACCCACACAGCCGGCGGAGACGACCAAGTTCAGGCCGAGAGGCGGAGCCCAACTCCGTGCTGGCCTTCTGGAGGCTCATCTGTGACACCTTCCGGAAGATCGTGGACAGCAAGTACTTTGGCCGGGGAATCATGATTGCTATCCTGGTCAACACACTCAGCATGGGCATCGAGTACCACGAGCAGGTAGGGAGCAGGCGGAGGCAGTCTCTGAGGGTGGGGGTCTAGGGCAGGGGACCAGGGCCTGCCCTATCTGGGAAGGCTTCACAGAGGAGGTGGGCTTTGAAGAATGTAGACGAGTGGGGAGAGACATGTTCTAGGAGGCACATGGGGTCTTTGGAGCAGGGATCATGGGGTGGGGTCTTGGTGGTCCCCGGCATTGATGTGAGGTGTGAGTGGCTGGAGGAGAGGAGGCTTGGCGGCTATGTCTGATTGGAATGAAGGCCTGCTGGACTGGGGGAAGGCCGTCTTCTCCCGGGTCTGGGAGCCCTGCTGGATGGGAATACCCAGCCCAGCGAGGGGCCTTGAAACCACCGCCGTGCAGGAATCCTTCTGAGAAGCATGCTGTTTGGTCAGGAGAAGAGGCGGCTCAGTGGGGCCCTGCACGCTGTCTTCAAATATTTGAAAGGCTGTCATGTGGAAGAAGGAGCATCTGGGCTGAGAGGCCAGGAGGCTGTAAGCCCTCCCAGAGTGATGTGGAGGCAGAAGGTGGACCCCAGTGGTCCCTCGCTGGTGCACCCTGGACTGCACCCACATTAAGGGGTCAGAGCAGGCACCCCGGGGCCTCACCCCCAAGCCTTCCCCACTCCCATCCCCCTTCCCCAGCTTCCTTCTGAAAGTCACTTTTGTGCCCTGGCATGGCCTGGGAAGGGAGGGAGCTACAGGCAGGTGCTGAGCACAGGGTCCCGCTGTGCCCTCCTTCTCTGCTGCTGGCCCCTCTTGGGTGGTCTCATCTTGCTGGACGGAGGGAGGGGGCGATGGTTCTGCCGACTCTGAGCTTTTCTGACTAGGAACTGAGACTGTGCACCCCAAGCTGCAGAAAGAAGTATAAGGGGATTGGAAGTATGGGGCAGGGGCTGCCTGCTGGCCACAGCACATGATGGGAATGGATGGCCTTTCTGAGCAGGTGGGTTCACCACCACCACCAAGTAGGGCAGGGTATGAGTGTTCAATGAAGGAGGACTGTAGATGGAGACTGGGTCTGGAGCAGTCTGATGCCCCCCCCCCCCCCCACTGACCCCTACACCTGCTATGTTGTGAGCACCCAGCGTTGTCCTGAAGGGGAACAACCCTAGCCTTTGATCTCCATCTCCCAGTTGGTTCCCCTTCTTCTTGCCGCAGCAACCTCTGGCCTGGTGGCTGTGCTCCATTCCCTCCCTACTGAGGCAACACGGAGCGGGTAAGATGACGGCTGCTGTGCCAGCAGGTGGGCGCTCATGGCACTGCGGTGGCCATGTTGTGTCTGAGCTGTATGGGGTGTGGGCCAGTGTGCACATGTGGCTCTGCCAGCTTCCTGGAGCGAGGTGCTTCACTGTGCCAGGCTGCTGGGGCCAGTGGTGGGGGAGCAGCAGTTTGTGCTTCCGTGACCCAGGGTCCAGCAGCCCCTGACCTCCCGCCACCTTCAATGACCTCAGTCTGAACCTCAACACTTTGCCCCCAAAGGTTCAGCATCCTCCCCATTGTCCCCAGCGTGCACCCAGCCATCCCTGGTCTGCCAGCTGCTGCTGCTGCTGCTGGAGCTTTGATTGTCCTGGGAAGGAGCTGAGTCACACAGAGCCAGGGCACAGGAAGCCACCCCAAGGGAGAGGAAATGAAAGCTCTCCCAAGCCTCCCCCCCAGAAAGGGGGAACAGCCCACAGCTCCCCACCCACCCAGCCAGGCCTCAGAGGCAGGGAATCCTTGCCCCAGGGGTCGCCCAGTTTTCTTCAGTGAGTTTGTCCCAATCCTGACAGCTGGAGGGTGGGGGTAGGGAATGGGAGTTGGGCTGGGCAGGTGAGCTCTGCTGGGAGGTGGGAAGAGGCCCTACCATGCAGGCACTGCGGCGTGAACGTCCCGCCATCTGGGCCCCCCTGCGCTTGAGCAGGCTGGAGGGGAAGGGAGCAAGGAGACACGGAGTACTGAGTACCGAAGGAGGCAGAGGCCCAGGAGGGCAATGGGGACACCGAGGGAGACAGACAGATGCGGAAGCATAGAGGAGGAGGCTGAGACAGGAGAGAGAGGCAGAGGTGCAGAGAAGGGACCAGGGCCGATGGGGATGGGAGATAAAGATGGAGTGACAGGGGAAGGAGTCAGACCTGGGGAGACCCAGAGGCAGCTGAGGACAGACGGGGCAGAGAGGGAGTGCGTGCCTTGGGATGGAGCCTACCTGTAGGAGAGAGGTGACGCGTGGCCACAGATGCTGCCGAGGCTCTGCCCCCACTCCTGCCTTCCCTGCAGTGCCATAGATGGTGTCCATAGACCCTGCTGCCCAGCACACTGGGGGCACTGCACGCAAGGGGTGTCCTCCACTCCCTGGTCTAGGTCTTTCCTGGTGTCATGGTGTCCCTCTTGTTCCTCTCCAGCAACCACTGGACCCAGGGGGCACCCAGCTACAGCTCCCCTCCCCCTCCAAGGCTGGCCCCATCCCCTCCCCTTTCTCCTGCTTTCCCTGCCCTGCCCTGTTTGCCACCAGCTGGTGGAGGATTGGCAGGGTTGGTTTACCCAGAAGGCCAGTGAGGGAGCTAAGAAAAAGAATGCTGAGGACAGCAGTGTGAACCTATTTTAGTCAGGGCTAACAGTATGTGCCCAGCCACAAGGGGGCAGTACCTGGTGAGGGGCCCAGAATCTGTGGGTTCTACACCAATCCATGTGTCCTTGCATTCTACCCATGTGTTAGATGTCAGAGTTGGGCCCCAGCAGGACCCTGCTGATAGCTGTTTAACATCAGCCCTCAAAAGGCAAACAAACCCTGTTTGGGAGTGTCTGCCCATTTCTGTGGTGTAAACCCAAGTTACCTACTGTGATAGACCTGGGATGAGATGTACTCTGAGTGCAAAGGAAGAGTAGGATGAAGCCAGTGGAGAAACGAGGGCCAGGGGCCATTGGACATCTCAACTGAGCAGGATGCACAGAGACCACAATGGGCTGGGTGGCAGGTGGCAAGAGGTGAGTTTAGAAAGTCAGGCCCTGAGGGCACAGGAGGGAGTCTGGATGTTGTCCCAAAGGTTTTACACAGGTCAATGAGAGGTCTGTGTTTGCAGGTCAGTGAGTAGTCTGTATTTGTGCTGGCAAAAGCCTTCAGAGTAAAGGGCAGCCAGTCACAAGAAAAGCCGAGACAGGAGCCAGTGAGGCCAGCCGGTTCCTACCACATCCATGTCCCTGGAGAGGAGAGGCTGGGAAGGACTAGCAGGTGGCTGCCTCTGCAGGACTCCATACCAGCTGACATCTGAGTGAAGGAAGGGGCAAGGGTGACCCCTGGGGTTCTGCCTGGGGTTTGGGCAGATTTGGATGGGGACCATCCTGGAGCCTCTGGGGTGGTACCATATCCAGCAGGCTGCCTGGGCTCCAAGAAGAGGTTGTCTGGGGACCTGTCTCCCACCTGGAGTTGTGTTGGGGTCAGGCCCCAAGAAGGGTGGGATGCTTCCTGATGTTGCTTACCTGGCCCTGGCCCATGAACGAGGAACAGGTATTGGCCTCGTCTTCTGGAAGAGGGATGCCAACAGATGGGGAGCCCAGCTAGTAGGGCTTCAGCTAGTAGGATGGGGAGGGTCCAGGGCCAGGAGAGCCTGGGGTGGGTGACATGATTCTGTTCATCACTCAGACACCGGTCCCTCCTGTCACTCTAGATAGGAATCCTAAGAAGGTTTCTATTTATAAGTGAATGAGGTTGGCAGCTCGAGGAGAGGCATGCTGGGGCAGGGAGGGGAGATGGCGAGGCGTGTTCGGGGGTGAGTCCAATTGTGGTGAGTCTTACCATTCCAAGGGCTTCCAAGACTGGGCCACAACCTTGTGCCCTGAAAGTGCAGACACATACACACTCCTGTGTGGCCGTGGAGAGCCTGGCCTTAGGCCTCCTGAGGGAGGAGCGCTGACTGAAAGCCTGGAGCTGGGACCAAGCAAGGCTTTGGAGTGATCCCGGCTCTGGGTGTTCAGAGTCTTTCAGGTCTTGGGTGGGGCGTGTTCATGTTTGCTTAGGCATTTCCCAGCTGCAGGCTCCTGCAGTTCTGCAGACACTAAGGCTGTCCTGTACACAGCGTGCTAGAAGCCCTCGAGGATTCCAGAAGGTCACGGGCAGGCTCTCTGGAAGCACCCAGCATGCGTAGGTGGTCCTGGGAAAGCCGTTGTGTCTTGTGTATGATCACACAAGATGCTGTGAGGGTGGCCTCCAGAGACAAAGCAGAGGTGTTCACGGAGGAGGTGGTTTTTTAGAAGGACCTTGAAGGATGAGTGAGCTTGACAGGGTAGAGCAGAGATCTAGTGGCAAGGATTGGTAGGGGGCAGGGAGGATGATGCCAGCAACCGGGCTACAAAATGCAGAGAGCCCATGAGACACTCTAAAAGGGCATGGTGGCCCCCCCAGCCCTTCCTATCCCTTAATGTTGGAGCCAGGGTTGGTGGGGATGACGTTGAGTCCAGTCCAGCAGTATTGAAGGAAGCCTGAGCTTCAGCAGGTGCAGGCTGGTGCAGGGGGGTGGCGGGGTGGCGGGGGGGAGGCACAGCAGCTTATTCCTGGTGTTCAGAGCAGTGGGGGTGGGGAGGAAGCCAAGGAAGGCTGTGGGCAGGACAGTATGTCCACCAGCAGGTTGGAGCACCAAGGCACCAGCCAAAAGGCAGTAGTAATGCTAGATAACCCAAGGGCTGTGTGGAGCCGGGGAGGCGCGAGAAGGGAGGTCTGAGAGAAGAGGTGAGGGCCTGTTTGGGAGGTGTTGTTTGCCATGGCTGCGGGCCATGGTGGTGGGGATATCGGGCAGGCACTGGCTCTCTGGACCAGGAGCCAGGGCCCCAAGAGAACTTGTTTAGTGTCCTCTACACCCCAGTGACAGCTGGAGTGTGGGGAGTTGGGGGCACTGGAAAGAGGGAGTGGGCTGGGGGAGGGGTGGGCTTAAGCGAACTCTGAGGAATGTTGGTGTGAGAAGGAAAGGCAGTCTTAGGAGGGCTGAGCGGGGCTGGCACAGGGTCAGGGAAGCCAGGCCAAGCGGGGCATGGAC